CAGACCAAGTTGGCCTTGCTGTGGGGATGCAGCATATTTGTGTGGATTCCCATCTAGTTTCAATCACACCACCCCATAGTTTGACTACGCTACCTTTGAAGGAATTTAAGAGAATGATAATGAATTCCAGCAATATCATTCAAGAAATTAAAACAAATGTCCACAGCATGCTCTTTTTTTGTTGTTGTTGTTGGTTTTCATACTTATTACTACCTCTTGTCCTAATTATAATGTCTCGTTTATAGACTATAAACGAGGTTTTATAATTAAGACTGAAGGTAGTATTTTTTTTAACTGTTCTTTTGATGTTGGATGAAATAGACTTTCAATTTGATTATTGGCCAGCTTATTTAAAATAAAAAAGTGGATTTAGTGAAACTAAACACGAGGAAGTTGCTGGGAACACGTTAAGTTAAAATATAAGGGATGTGTTGGAAAAGAAAATCTGGTTTTGAAGCGCTGGCAAATGAAAATTTATGAGTTTGGTTTAAAAAAATTGCGAAAGTTGGGCCATTTTCAAGATTCAAAGAGTGTTTACAAATCACATTGCGCCCATGTGGAGTATGAGTTAGATCCTTGGCACTTAAACTGACCTCCTTTAAGCATGTGGATTATATATCAGTTACTTCGATTATTTTAGCAAATAAGAAATATCAATAATAATAGTCTTTTAAAATAGGCTTCAAAGAGAGTTTACAAATGTACTTCTTATTATTTTATCACTTAAACTTTTCAGTTAGATTCCTCACAACAAGAATTAATATTAGCAATATAGTCTTATATCGAGCTAAGAAATATTCATACCGAAGAGATCCTCTTGAAGACTTACAGGGAATTGAAAACGTATGTGTGTCGGGAATCAAAATAAGAGGGGGATTCATTTGTGAACTGTACCCTACCCCAAGGGGAAACCTAGCGTGCAACTAATTCTACACATTCCCCCCCCCCCCCATTTTAAATGAAGAAGATGATTTTATGAACGCTTTCACAATGAATTTATATTAAAAGGTGAAAGGGTAAATTGACTCATTGTAATATTTAAAAAGAGTATCAGGCAACATAATAAAATATTAAGTGTAAAAATATCCATAATAATTCAAAAACGACCATGAAATGCTGCTTCCATTAAACGTATCAACGTGGTATGTTTTAAGTTGTGGGTCCTATTATTTTTCTTAATATCGGTGAGTCAGTCTCTCGTATCCTTTCTCCTTCTTTCACTCTCTCTCCTACTCTGCCTCTCTCTATGACCCAAACCTTTTGCGATGCCAGCATTATGGATGTCTCCCTATCCTCTTCCTTTAGCATTCGTACTCGCACCAAAACCCAATCCGTTCATACATCTCGGTCTCAATCCACCTCTAGTTCTTGCCTTCAACTCTAAAGTCATCGCCTTGAGAAGCCTGCTGTTTGGATTCTTACTACCTACTACTCCAAGCGTCAGAAGTATGCTTTCCTCAACGTGAGCACAAATAGACTCAACATCTCGTGACCTCTCCTCCTAGGAACCTGTGGTCGAATCAGCTTAGCAACACACCATATGACGGTGCTCAAAATGCTAGCGACACGGTTGATGATCGTGGTGACGGTGGTGGCAAATTTTGTGGACGTAGAAGACACAACAGAGTGTATTCTCCTTGCATGGACTCTAAGGTGGAGTGATCTGACGTATTCACCTTTGGAATTGCATTTGCACCAAAGGAAAAATTCTTCTACAATAACACTGTCGAGTTATCCCCTTGCGAGTAGGCTAGCTCTCTCGTCTTCCAATTCTCAAATCTCTATGTTCAAGTCCAAGGTGGATGAGATCTCACTCTCACTATCAATTCCTCTTCTTTTGCTCATATTTGTTCCCTCTCTTGGTCTCTCTAAATCTTCGAGTAAAATTTCTGGATAGGTTGTTTGTTTCTCTAAATTTATGACCGATGATTCACAATTCACTAGTTAAAGCAGCAACGACGACTACAGTGAGTGCTTCTAATACTGACTGACTGCCATTAACTAGTATTGAGAAAAATAACCAGGATGAAGGACACATGTGGATAATATAGTAGCACCCCAAACTTAAAGCAAACAGTTATTTGATGCATTTAATGGAAGTAGCATTTTGAGACATCTTTAAATCATCCCAGGTATTTTTACACCTAACATTTTATTATGGTTTCTGATGTTCTTTTTGAATATTACAATCAGTAAGTTTGCTTATTTATCCTATATTAAAATATGAACGATGATATGTTAATGCTAAGAAGATCAATACTAAGGAGGTGTTTGACAAGATTTCACAAAACGAGACACACTCATCTACATATTTACTTCGTATACCGTAAAAACATTTTTAAAACCATGGTTTGGTTTCTATCCAAACATTCCTAAAACTAAACAATATTGCGAATGGCATCGTCATGAGGGGATTCCTGCGTCCTAGTGTTCAAGTCAGCAGGCCATTCTCAATAGCGCGGACCAGCTATGTGTCCAAGTTGTGGAGGACATTTTGGCCCCGCAACTTGGGAAAACTCATACCGAGTCTTCTTTCCGAAAATCTTTGTTCTTTTACTGTCACTTGCTTACAAAACGAGTCTTCGGAGTAACAAAACAGGTTTTCTTTCATTGATGAATGAAAAAGCGTTCCAAAGTATGCAGAGAAGGGAACTAAAGGGAGTAAAAGAAGAGGGCAGAAAATAGATACAGGATGATAAGTAGCAGCAGAAAACACAAGGCGTAGCGATGTAAAGAATATACCCAGGAAGCAGAAGCTAAATGGAACGGGAAGTAGAAGGAACGCGGATCCATTCCAATTGGATTTCAACTTCACCACATTCAACATTGCGTAATCTGAGCACCAAATCTTGCACAACCTTGCCTTCGCTGTACGTAATGCAGCTCTCATCCGCCAAACAATTTTGCCTGCCTGGATACAATCTTCTCACCACCGTCCCGCTCGGCAGCCCATCCAGCCTCATGTTCACCGCTTCTATAAACGGTCTTATCTCAAACTCTGCTTCCCCCATTTTGTCATCTTTGCTGAACGTGTCATGGTCATACACCGTCTGCATCTCACACACACACACATCATTAACATTCCTTCGTGCTGCTTTCAGTTTTTAATATAAAAACTAATTAGCTAATTTGAGTAGATTAAAAAAACTAATTAAATTAATTATTTGTAATAAATGTGTTATCTTTTCTAAAATATCTTTGTTGATCAAGTGTTTTAATTACAATTATCATTATTACATGGACTGCCTTGAGAATAAATAAATAAATATGAGAGACAAATTGAATGGAGTTTTAGTCTTATATTTAGAGTTAAAATAAAAGTTAAAAGAGCTCTTATATTAAGAATCGAGATAGTATATAAATATAAATAAACATACACCAGTAACTCACACTACTTACTATTGTTATCGGACGACTCGGGTCTGTAACTGAAAGGGTCAGGTCTTCATTCCACTCAGGATTTACATCCTTCTTTATCACACGAGTCTTGAGTCTCTGTAAAACCACGCATCACTTGTGCTTATTCATAATAACATTCACAACTACCACAATTGCGACGCAGTTATTTATACTTTCCTATTCATTTCTAGAATCTTCCTTTATCCCATTCAAACTTCCAGGGACGAGACCCAAGGTGAAAGAATTTCTACGTACTTCTCAGGGAAATGAACAATTAAATAAAGGGCACATGAATCATCCAGGGAACGAAGAGAACAGCAATCCTTGGAATCAACTGGAGGGAAAATTGTAATTGTGAATAGATGGTGCAATAAAAAGTAGTTGGCTGAAATTCTGCGACCAATTCTCCAAAATAAATACAGCCAAAGCTATTGAATATAACAATTATGAATAAACAGACGACCCCCGGGGGAGGGGCGTTTAAATGCAATTTTCAAGAGGATATATACACAATCTGTACCCAAGAAAGAAGGCTCATAATAAAGAATTATGTGAGCAGAAGAATAGAAGAGAGCACTGACCTGTCTGCCCATCCTTACGACGACGTAAGGATCGCTGCTACGAACATCACGAACGGCGAGGTTCACCCCACGCTTCACCCGAATCCTCAGAAGGCCGATCAGGTTTTCCATTGTTCTCCCTCACGCTCTTTCTGTGTACAATTTTCCACCTACTTCATCTCATTAAATCCTTGTTTTAGTCTGAGATGAAATTGGTAACGATAAATCGATGAGGAAAACAATTTAGAGATGGGAAATGCTGAGATCAGGGGTTTGACAAGGGGGAAAACTTGTTGGTTGGCCCTGTACGGTCCCGGGGGGGTGGTGAAAGAAGAAATGGGCCAAGTCAGAGGAGGAGAAAAGGAGGATGAGTTTGAGAATAGGGAGGATTTCCTGGTACTTGTAAGCGGCAGCTCCGGTTCAAAATTGATTGCGGTTAGACGTTGACTTGTGCCGTCCGTGAATGCCGCTACTGCGACGTGGCCGATCTCCATAGCCCAAATCCAATGGCTCTAAAACTCTCAACCCACATATGCCTACATTTCATACCCTCGTGACAAACTTAAGTTGACTTGTTCGTATTCTAGAGTCTGGACGTCACTTTTTATTTTTTTAATTATATTACCGGAATTTAAATCCTATATGATCAGTACACTAGCAGCTTAAACTAGTTTTAATGGGCTTTTTTAAAAAATAAATGTTCCTTCCTTGCTTTTTTTTTTTTTTAAATTAGGTACAAGTATTTTTTTATTACAAGTAATTTTATTTGAGATATTATTGAGCATTAAATATAAATATCTTTTTTAATAAGAATTTAAATTTTAATTCACCACGTTATAAAAAATTAAGACCTTCCACTTGATTTAGTCCCATTGCCACGGCTTTTTGACTTTTTGGGCATTATTATTGGATTAAAGGATAGTTGGAGGGCTAAAGATACGAGGAGAGGCCCAGGCCCTCCTAATATTCCAACTTAGGGTCCAATTAAAAGGGTTCCCGCGCTTGCGGCTACCCTTTTGAGTTTTGATTTGTCTTTTGGTTCTCAGTTTATAATCATGCTGCCATCACTGCTGGAAACACGATGGTGAAATGTTATGGAACCCTGGGAAGCTCTTGACATCGATGATTCTGACCTCTCCTCTTTCCTCCGCCCTTGCAAACGCCATCACCTCGATTCCTCATCCAAAGCTTCCCATACCATCGCCGCCAATGCTTCGCAGCAGCGGCTAATTTTTCAGCGCAATCCTCATTCCCCCCCTGAAACCCTACCCGCTTCCCATTGCCATTCCCTTTTACCGCAGGCGAAGGCACCTGCTCTTCCAAATCGCCTCATTCCCGGTCCGGCCGGTGTCGTTCAGGCCGCGATGCAGCGCAGAGCTCTAGGTCACCAGAGTTTATTGGAAGATGCCGCGGACTCCATTCCCACGCAAGAATTCATAAGGCGGGTTGTTCAATATGGCGATGATAACGATCACGATTTTAACACTAATGCCTGGCACTGTGCTCTGGGCTGGCTTCGTCGAGAAGGTTCTTCCTACATTTCCCCGTTTATTTACCTCTGAAATAATCTATCATTTTCTAAAACTACACTGATTCTGGAAAAGCTATTCTGTGGCTCATACATGCTTGGTTCATTTCAAATCTCTTTCTCTTTCGGTTTTTCTAGGCAAGGTCGATCGTAATAGTGTGGTATTTGGTACGCCTTTGAGCTCAATTAAGAAGCAAATCAACATTGAACGAGTAGGTCAGGTATTGCCAATAATTCGGAAGATGATTTTATGTTATTCACTATATACTTCTATAAAGTGCCGGCCTTAATTCAAAAGTTTCATACGAGTTTCTTTTAAATATTTAGTTACTTGGAAACAGGTAATCGCCGTTATTAAATCCTGCACACCGAATGGTCTAGGAGATTTCATGGTGACCTTAAAGGTATATCTGGAACTGTGAATGCGGTGCATTCGAAAATGCACTCATGACTTGTGTCTCTTGTTCTTTCTCATGATAATAATATCTGAGGTACCTGAGTCTGAATTTCAGGATCCCTCTGGTACAATTGGTGCCAGTGTACATCGTAAAGTCTTCACTGAAGGAGAATTTGGAAATAATGTAAAAGCTGGTTCGGTTTTGGTTCTCCAAAAGGTCTGTTACTCATTAATTTGAATATAGAAATATTGCGTCAGCAAAAGCTTCCTTGTCATGGCGTTGAATTTTAGTTTCGTTTTCCTGGTGGCAACTTGTAGTCTGATGACCAAATTTGCTTGACTAAACCAACCTGTCCTCTATTTCAGGTTGCTGTATTTTGCCCCACTCCCTCTGTTTGTTACCTGAATATAACATTGCGCAACATAGTCAAGGTATGGGATCATCTTCGTGTTCACACTTAACCCCATCAATATTTTTTTTGTGGGCCAAACTTAACCCCATCAATATAGAACCTTAACTGCAAACCGTATTGTATAACGTTTAATTTGAGATCTACTCTGACCTTAATGGATACCAGTAATAAGCATTCTCAATCATTAGTCCTTCCCTCCTCGCCTGGCTCACCCCGTTTTATTTACTGTTCTGTTCTAAACCAAAAATATATGGCTGTATATGCATCTGACTTAGGGTTGACCATTTTGATAGACCGTCTATACAACATTGAAGCATGATTGATGTTGGCAGTTCATTCAGGGATCCTGCTGAATCAACTATAATAGCACAAAAAGAGTCGGAAAACTTTCTAATTAGGCATATCGTCGTAATGGAGGGACAAAGAATTTGGCCAAGATTTGATATGTTTGTCGGTAAGAGTTGGCGGCAACGGGGAGGGCTTAAGGCTTGGGTCTTCATGCATAAAATGAATTACTACTCTTGGTCCTTAATATAAGATTTAATTGATTAATTTGAAAGATTAAGAAAATTAGTTAATTAATTATTTATAATAAATGTGTTGTTTTTTTTAGAATGTCTTTGTTAATCATGTATATTAGCTAAAATTACTATTGAATGGAATTTTTAATATGTACAACTATTTCAAAGACCACTTTGAAAAAAATAAATAAATGTGAAAAACAAAATATATTAGGACTTTATATTTAGGATCAAATTGAAAGTCAAACAAGTCTTTATATTAATAACTGAAAGTAGTATATTCTATCCTAATCGGCCGAAAATGATGAGATGTGGTCCATTCGGCGTTTAGAGCTACATAAAGACGAAAGCAGTGTTTGATGCTGATTGAATGGGAAATGATCGCAAATGCCGATAGTCAAATTACCCGAGTAACTAAAATAATGCGCAGGGTGTCCCAGCCTCAGAATCATGGGTTCTTGGCTTGAAGTTTGAGATTGGGTCGTTTAGCTTGTCTAGTTAGTTCCTTAGAAAGGGGTAGGAGCAACTTTGGATAGCTCATTTTTATTTGGGGAGATATCATTGAGAACGAATCCTCGTCACATCCTCAATCTCTTCGAATTTCGAATGCAATAATTTGAGATATTTTTCCATTTATTTCCTTTCGATCTGTTGAATATCGAGTTTTTGTTTGTCCGCTAACAAACTGTTTGTTCTGAACAGATTTTTTCAGAGAGCAGCGAACCTGAATCTGAAATTTATCCATCTTTAAGACGTGTGGCTCCTTCTATAGGTACTTACGAACATCAATCTGTAACAAGTTCTTTTATTAGCTCTTCGTCCCCTCTCTATTGATGATGACGTGTTCTATTTATTCTAATGCCTTACTGTTAACCCTCCTACAATACATACGTGCTCATAAATTAACCTTCTCTGTGACAGGAGGCAACGAAAGATTATCGATGGCGGACTATACTTTGTCTCTGCCACAGGAAAGAACAGAGGAAATTAGCACTAACCGCTCCCTACATTTGGGATTTAAAGATATGGAAGTTAGTGATAAGCAAAAGGGAGATGATAAAACTCCAGAAAGCGTCGGGGCGAAACAAGATTCAGGAAGGAACCATTCTGAGCACGTCAATATCGCTGAACGTGTGAAAGCACTCAGTAGCTGTGAGCTTGAGATTGAGACGGAAGACAACTCAAACCCTTGTCAACTGGGCGGAGACAGTTCAGCATGTATTGCTCAAAACAATGGTTCATCGGCATACTTGGTTGATACATCTGAATCTCATGGTCCGGAAACGGGGTCAACAAGACAGATGGACACAAATCGGGAGATCCTAATCCCACAGTGGACAGAGGAACAGCTTGATGAGCTTTTAGCATTTGACTGACGTACTACCGTTTGTCAAATTACACAGTTATAACGTATCCTTGATAGATCAATCCCAGTATTGTAAGAAAAATGGAGAAAGAAATAATGCAATGCTTTGCAGTTCACCCAGGAGCATCGATGCTTTCCTTCGTTGGGCACATGTTGCTTGGCATCATTAACGACACGGAAGATGGGGTAGATTCGAATTAAAACCAGGACACGTGATAACGACAATGCTAAAAGAATGGCCCCTACTCATTACCTAGATTACAAATAACAGAGGCAACGGTTGCCTTTTTTACTATTGTCACTGGCAAACTGTTTCATTTTTTCTATCATACAACTCAATAAGATGGGTCAAAAGTAAATGCATCTATAATAAATATAAATTAATTTGTCGAAAGAATTAATCATTTGGAATAATTTTGCGTCTATATACGACTACCTCCGCCTTCCAGTTTGTTTTTGAATGTCCAGGGAGATATCCATCCGTCTTTCCTTCCAATAAATAAGTTGCATGTGGTACAAAACCCTGAAAGCATAGCAATATAAGGGAGAAAAAAGTCCTAACTCGACGATGTTCATTTAGGCTTTCATTCTTGAAGACTGTCCCACATTATTCTCCATTCTTGTGTACCACCCACCGATCCGAGTGTGTTCTACCATATCTTTGCCCGACCTAAGATAGCGAATTGGTCTCAGCACCCCGAAGACAGCCAAGTCGGCCAAATTAGGCTTGGATCCTCCTGAGAGGGGGGAAAAGAAGAAATGAATCATACTTGGAGGGAGAGGAATATACACAATTTATGAAATATATAAAAACATGAAAACATTTATCATATATTCACCAGAATATTGCCTTTAAGTGGGAACTTGCGTCAGCATAAATATATCTAGAAGATAAAGAGCTAGTTTAAACCGGCAAAAGTTAAATGCCATCTTGCCAAAGCCTAGTGGAATGGGGGTTCAATCCACCCCCCAAGCAATAGCTTGTAATCCAAGGAGGAAAAAAAAGAAAAGAAAAAGCCATCTTGCACAGGCTGTTTAACAAATTAAAACAACTCAATCCTAAACCGGCATGGCGTGACCTCAATTTTCTAATTGCCATCGGTAGCTTTGCCTGTTTGCCATATTTGCATATTTGTTGATGTGGAGTTGTTAACATTAGTTTAAAATGATCAAAAGAATCGCGTGCTATTTCTGTATTTCAAAGGTGACAAAAAATTTTCACACACACATGCGCAGAAGGGAGGGGGGGCATACCAAGGAATTCCCGGCCATTTAGAGCATCGACCCATGTTTCTGCTGCCTCATAAAGAGCAGCACGTTCATCAGTAATGTTGTACTTCTTCTTCAGATTCTTGGACACAAAATACATTGCTGTAGCTCCAGCATACTTAACTGTAATTCTTTCTGTAAAACTGAAATTTCCTACAACATCAAATTCAGTAAATAATTAATAGCCTGTCCAACGCTTAGCCCATCTTCAAGTTTAGAGAGCACAGCAAAATAGACAGTCACCGAATTACCCATAACTATCCTTTTTACCTCCCTAGCTCTCTCACCCCCACCCCACCAATAAAATGTTTCAATACAAGAGGATAACAAGACGATCTTGTCTCTTACTGCCATATTGGGACCTTTTTAAACCCGTCTGAGCTCATCAAAAGGCAAATTTATCCAGCACCACTGTTTGTTTCCCACAAAATTCTCTCTTCAAACAGGAAATACAATTTTTAACTTATCAAACCAACCTACAGTTTCTAGGAAATTTATGAAAATTAAGATTCCATTGACAACTTCATACAGCAGGAATCTTGGTCGAAAGAAATATGAGTGGAAGAAAAAAAAACAATATGTATGTCTAACATCAAATAATTAATTGTACCAGGGACTAGAACATCTTACCATTACTTGTAATATAGTCAAAGGACTCAAGTGCCTCAGAAGCATTTCGATAAATGTTGGGTGACAAAACATGCACCAAGTGATTATCAACCCACCTATATTGCATGGACAGAAACAATAAACTTAGTAGATTTATATGCTAAACAGTCATTAGTCATGTTCCACAGTTCCTTTTACTGGATGAAGTCTATGTTCAATTTAATCCAGTCCAGTCACTTGCAGCAACTTGGATTCCCAACAATACTATATCTTGACAATTTAAGCCAAATGTTACTTGTTTGTAAGACAAATGTAAAGCACATAATGCACAGGATGCCAATTTCATCATCAGATAGCAGGAGTATTGTTTATACAGAAGTCAGCAGCAATTTACATCTTAAAACCTCTTCTACTGCAGCAAAGAGAAATAAGTTTTCTAACAGAGCCATGTATGCAAATAGTGCAAAAGACTGTAATCCTGGACCAACTATTAATGTCAAGAGACATAAAGCAAACAACTGCAATATATGAAAAACCATTGAATTCATCATCCCAAGAGAAAATATTCAATACTCCCAAGATTCCTTACAATACATAAATGCAGTATGACAAAATATTAATGAAATCAAACTCCGACTAAGAATGGAAGCGAAGGATGCACAGCGTTAGGTAGGAATGGGGCAATAACCTTTATGTTAACTGTTTTTTCCCCGAACAATGAGTCATTGAATGTCCACATATGATAACGTAGGAATACATGTGAAATATTTAAATGGCCATTAGAAGGTATAATTCTTCATCATTGAGATAAAAATAAGCAGAGAAAGGGGGATGCCTTCTCTTACAAAAACTCAAAGCCACTACTATTTGGTCAGGTCAAATGTACATGTATGGCCATTCAAAAAACTTCTTAGAATAAAGCAGCTAAGAAATAAGCATATTCAATCGAACTTCTAATAAAAGCCGCTGTCATTTGAGCTTCTTACCGCCTCCATTTTGTCTCCTCATCATCCTCTGAGGCTGAATCATTCTTTTCCTTCAACAGAATCTTCTGGCTCAACTTATCAATTATTGCTGCAAAAACAAAAGCAACGTTGATGAAAAATAGTAAAAGAGGTCATTCAGCGGACGTAAATTAAAGGAAAAACCAGACCATTAACTGTCTTTCAAAAATATCAAAACCTGATGAGTCATTGAGCTGCTCGCCATCTACCATTAATATGGGCACCTTCTTATAATCAGACCATTTGATTTCTTTCTTACTGATTGGGTTAACCTCCACGATTTTGTAAGGTATATCAAAGTAGTCCAAGAATGCTGATAAAGCAAATAAAATACCAGATCAGCAACTAGTAGAATGCGGTGAGAGGTTAAAGATAAACAACAGCAAGTACATGGACTGAAGCAGCGCAACAATTAGCACAACTTCACATTGTATAGGAGACAAAGCGGTAATTTGTTTATTTTCTATCCTTTTTCTTCTTCGGGAGGGAGGGATTACCTCACTCAGAAGCGAGAACTGTTACCTTTGTAGATTTTCATATTTCGTTTCAATTAGTTGATGTTCCAGGCAGATAAAAACATGTCAATAAAACCTTCCCTTATTCTAGGCTTGATGAAGAATGCAGGCACCATAGATATGAATGTAATTTAGAATTTTAGTTTTGTATATGGAGCTTTAAATCATGATTCACATAGGCAGCGAAAGTACGCTGACATTCTCAGCCATATATGCTTCTCATTCACAAGATCCAACGGAATAAACATTACACCAGAGAAAAGGTACCTTTAACTTTATTACAGAAAGGACACGCCTCGTACTGGTAGAGAATAACGTCCCGAGGAAGAACTTCCGGCGGTGGAGGCTCCTTTGCATGGACTTGTTGAGAATATGAAGCAGCCGCGACTACAGTAATCAGAGCCCCCGCGGCGCCAAGAGACGCCACTTGCGCGGAACGTCCAGTAAATGGGCCGAGAAGGGAGGAGAACCACCGCCGGCGATTATATGTATTGCCTGTACTTGTACCATAAAGAGCAGACTGTAAGAGACGGCGTTGGGCGGCAAATGAGATGCCAGATCCACCATGCTCAGCGGCAAGGGTTCTGGAGAGAACAAAGGAGGCAAGAGTTGAGGCTCTTCTCATAGTGTATAAAATCGATAGATAAAACCGCAAGAGGGACGAAGGAGAAGGGCGTTGAGGTTGTTAGGAAAGGAGAAGGGTTTTGGCGTCGGATTGCAGATCACGAATCGAAAATGGGGTTTAGGGGGTGTTTGGTTCAGTGAAAAAACACTTCGAAAAATATTTTTGTGTAAAGATAAAATTATTTCTAAAATTGTGATTTAAAAGTGGTGTACCTTGTTTTTCACCAACTTAGAGGTACTTATATGCTTGGCTACTACTTGATTCTAAGTTACGGATGAAACTTGTTACCAGCCTCTTGTTAAATAACACTCGATACCTCTTTGAATGAAGGTTGTCGGTTATATGAATGGGGATATGACCCACCGTTCCCTAAATGAAAAGGGATGTATAATTAATCCTATTTTTCTTTTTGAAAAAAAGCCAATTTTTACCTTGAAAAAAGAAGTCAACTTAAATTCAATGATCTACTCATATGTAGCTTTAATATTAACGTAAAAATTAATTAAATTCAAAAAATGACCACCAGTCATCTCTGATTTCACATGATTTAGACCGGATAAAAATAGCATAAAAAAACTCGTGGCCCCGGGAAAAGCAAACATAGAATGAACAAGGCCTGGCGGCTTGGCGGGGGCGATAGTTTTGGATGCAGTACGTGTAGCCGGCGACTGAGAGGACCTCGTTGCCGGCGGGGACAGCGGCGCCGGAGGTGAAGGAAGGTCCGTGTCTGGGGCCATTATTTAGGCAAGAACGACAAGGTGTGAGGGAGCTCGGTGCAGCAACGTCGCCGTTGGCTGGAACTTGACGAAGAGGGGGAAATCGGCGACTGAGGTGATAGAAAACTGCTGGGCTTCAGTGCGTTGACGAAATTGTTGTCTTCAAGGTTTGGTTTCCCCACCTCAGGCCTAAATCTCTCTTCATCCAACGTTTCAATTATGGTTGTTCACTTGTTCTCTATGGCTATCACATTTGTGTGGATTAAAGATTTTCGTTTCAGTAGGAGTGGACAATTTGTTGATGTTCGGCTGTGCAAATCTGTTGTGCTTCTTGTTTGCGACTGATTTTTAATATATGAAAATGTGAATATCTGATCTCTCTCCGTGATGCAAAATAAATTTTCAATCTTTTCCACTTCTGGGCAAATCCAGTAAAGAAGCCTCTTTATCAAACTGTTCATGGGTAGTTCCGTAAATTTACCTCGCTCCCGTTTCCTGGACCTAGGCACCTAGTTTTCCCCCACCCCTGCCGGCAAACATATCTCCTCCGTTTGAAGATAGAATTCTTCCTAGCTGCTGCACTTTTATCTCTCTTCGTGCAACCAAACGCCCGAGCAGGTAGAAAGAGGCTGATTTGCATTGGCATTGGCATTGTGTCATGTCAGTTTTCAGACGAGGAAGAACTTCTACAAAAGAAAATGAAACTTTGAAGGAACTTTTAAGTGTATGGCTTATAATATTCGTAACAACTGCAAAATTTGTGAAATAATTGCTCCGTACGATATGCATAATAAGGTTGACTTTGTCCACACTTAGCCCGTTTCTCTGAGTCAGTGTAGCTTTCAAAGATAGTAAACGTCAGAGAGCCTGGAGTTTTTCTCATACCTGCACAAAAAGACTAGATTTTGTTAGATGATAAGCAATTTCTAATCGTACATATATTTATGGTTTGGAATAAAGTGATTAGTGTAACGTGTTTACATGCGTGTACGCTCCCACTCACAGCATTAAGAGTATGTGCCTTCTGTTCTGCAGCAAGTTATTCTGTTATGTATCACTATTTCAGTTTTTCTGACATTAAACGTTGGTTTCTGCCAAAATTTAATCTATGTATGGATAGTTATCTTTGTTCATGGCTCGGTTTTCAACTAACTTTTGTACGTATCATCCAGGATCAGAAAGAGCAGTTAAAAATGGTAGTAACGTCAGCACAATATGACAGATTCTCAATGGATTTTGCAATGGGAGGTGTAGCAGCCATTATATCTAAGAGTGCAGCGGCACCAATAGAGAGAGTTAAGCTTTTATTGCAAAATCAAGGGGAAATGATAAAGAGAGGACAACTCAAGAGACCATATTTGGGCGTATCTGATTGCTTTAAGAGGGTCTTGAGGGAGGAGGGTCTCTTTGCCTTTTGGAGAGGGAACCAAGCCAATGTTATACGATACTTCCCAACACAAGTGAGTTATAATTTTTCTGACATTCTGATTGATGTTAAAGGACACCCCCCCTTTCCGTGTTGCATCTCCTAGATTTCTTTCCACTCCCTTGTAGTCACTGACCAGAGATGGGTCATTTAGTGAGTAGGATTTTAGATGTTAGGATAATTATTTCTTTTAGGCTAACTGAAAATATTTGTTAAAAATTTTATGTAACCTTATTTGCTCCCGGATTTAGTACTCTTTGTCATTACTAGAGGTAATTCCCATTTGTAAACTTGTGCCTTTTTCTTCCCAATCTATTCTGTACCCAATTGATATTGGTTTATTCTAGGAACCATGTTTGAACAAACACTTAATTGGTCTATAGGCTTTCAATTTTGCATTCAAAGGTTACTTCAAAAGCATTTTTGGGCATTCCAAAGAGAGAGACGGGTATATTAAGTGGTTTGCTGGAAATGTGGCTTCAGGCAGTGCTGCAGGAGCTACGACTTCACTACTACTGTATCATTTAGATTATGCTCGCACCCGATTGGGTACGGATGCATTAGAATGCCATGCCAGTGGTCAGCGCCAGTTTAAAGGGCTAGTTGATGTATATCGCAAAACCTTATCAAGCGATGGAATTGTTGGCTTGTACAGGGGATTTGGGGTTTCAATAATGGGAATCACCATGTATCGAGGCATGTACTTTGGAATCTATGACACCATGAAACCTCTTGTCTTAGTTGGGCCTTATGAGGTACGCATCTACTCTTCTAATGACTAGAGTTCTCTAGCTTGCATCCCAGGGGCAATGGTGTAGTTGAGTACTTCAAACGAGCATTTTGAGCTTCTTTTACTATGGAATAAGTCTTCTTAGTTGGGTTTTCCATGATATGTATTACTGATATTTTAGTCCGAATAAAATCTGTAAAGTTGCAACGTACTCAATTTTGAACATTCATTTTTTAGGGAATTTGAAAATTTTGGCTTTTTTTTTTTTTCCTTCCCACTTGTGAATACACCTGATTTTTCTTGCCATAGCCCTCTATTCTTACATGCGTTGATAATTTGGCTCATTAATTGCTTATAATGATTTAAAGCACTGGAGGAGTGTTTTTATGCCATACTCGCTCATTCCTATCCTTAGTCCTTTTTATTATTTATCCTTCTACGACAGGGTAATTTTTTTGCTAGTTTCATGTTGGGTTGGAGCATTACGACCTCTGCTGGAGTTTGCGCCTACCCTTTTGACACACTCCGACGGAGGATGATGTTGACATCCGGACAGCCAAATAAGTATCGCAATACATTGCATGCTTTTAACGAGATTGTGCGACAGGAGGGATTCTTTGCTCTTTTTCGGGGAGTCACCGCAAATATGCTTCTTGGCGTCGCAGGAGCTGGGGTGCTCGCAGGATATGATCAGCTGCACCGAATCTCATCAAGACACGGTCTCCATAATGAGCAGCCCAGACAGGGAGCTTTGAAATGAAAGTCTGAATTATGGAGACATTTTATGGTGGCCAAATCCATTCTTGTTGGTTCGCTCTGCTTCCACCGGCTGCAAAAGCTGTCCATCAATTTGCCCTCTTACGTGATTTCCTTTGTCTGATATACAAGATCAGGCGTGTAATATTATTTCAATATGGTTATTATGCATAACCGTATATTTTATGGTTATGGTTCTACTCATTGAATAGAATAGAGACCTCTGCTTTTAAAAGAAGAAGAAGAAGAAGAAGAAGATAGAATGGAGACCACAAGGGACGCTAGATTTGACATTTTTCCTGCTTATTTCAGATCTAATGCATGCTCAGTTGCTCCTCTCTCTCTCACAATTTGTATAAACATTCTGTTCACTTGCATCGAAGTTTCTCAATTTAAGTTTGGTTTAACAAATGAAAATGAAATCCGTACTTTAGTGGGTGAGTTCCTTGTTTTAGTTGAATTTTAGAGAGAATAAAATCTATCATGACAAAAATTGTGCTTCCTGAAGCCTGTACGCGATGACGTCGTCGTCAAACGCCGGATGAGGATGCCACCTCGGCCGCTGGCCTCATCTTTCCCTTTCTTCAGCATCATCCTATTCCTGATTCCTCGTGCATTATCTATATCATTGACCGCGTCGATGCTATTTGATTTTTTCTTGGTCTCTTCAATCTTGTTTTTCTATAATTTTTGACTATGAGAGTATCTTATCATTTTGCAGCATACTTCTACGGTACCAAAAAAAAAAAAATCATATTTATCTTATGTAGTTATCGAATGAAATACGTGGGCTTTAGCTCATTAAACATTACTACTATTTTTTTTTTAAATTTATAGAATTAATATTCATTCGAACTTGAAACTGTAATTATAAGAAGTAAGTTTATTATATTAAAGAGGAACATACAATATAGTTGAGAGAAACACACACACACACACAACTATATAACTATATAACTAACCTAAGGAAGTCATTTTCCGGGTTCCGAATATTTAAATACTTACTAGAGTAATGTTTAAGATGAGTCTTCCTATGCATGACTTGTCCTCCTTACATTTTGTAAGTTTTTATTATATGTTGGATATTCATATGGATGATTGCGAAACACAGGACAGAAGGAAACGACGGAGATGGTGGATGAGTTTAGCTTGAGATTAAGCTCTCCTTCCACCACTACCACTTTCTCGTTGGCAATTAAAGTAAACAGCTGCGACTGGCTGTCCCAGATTATAAAGCTCTGCAAAGTCTCTGGTGTTGAAGTTTTGACGCCATCCCGGCGCATACACCGCTTGCCTTCCTGGTTGCTGAAACAACACAAACACGTAACGATGAATCCCCACCGCTGGCCGTGGACTCTCGTAGCACACGATCTCTTGTCCTGTCATCGAAATTATGTATACGTACACAGTTCAAATGCAAGTTTTGGTGATTGAAAACAATATGGAAGCTAAACGTTAGAAGTTGGAACCAAAAGAAAAGGGATATTAGTATGTACTCACCGAAGGTTGCTCCCGTATTTGCGGGAATATCAGTGACCAACCTGGGCGCATCCATTCAAAAAGAAAAGAGAGAGTTACAAAAGCAAAATGCTTTACAGTCTACACACGCGGCATGCAAAATGTCCCCACTGACAAGTGTAAGAATCAATAACAGCATCCAATTCGCTGTGTTAAAGGATGTCTATTTTTACATCACAGAAGCCAACGAAGTCACCGTTTTGATACTTTTCCACGTGAAATCAAATATATACTCAATTAGTCATTTTCTTTCCTTGAGGTTGGATTTACCCCCAACTTTATCGCCCTCCCAGTAAAATATACTTTATCTTTCAGCTCACCCCTTTCAATCTCTGGCAGAATACAAACCTCACTGTTAACAAAAAGCCATGTGATTGTATTTCGGACCGTTAGTGAGATTAAAATGAAACGAGTCAGGTTCACTTGGATGGAGAGGGAGAGAGTCACGTGATGATGGCTCACCAGTGCAAGTACTCTCGTAAGCTTGGATCACTGGGGCTGGGCGAGTCAGGGTCGACCATTACCTGCATTATATTATGTAATTCCAATCAAGAAAAGGACTCATATGACCACATAGGTTATTCACCCACAGGGGAGCCAGCAAGCTGGTGGCCTTGCAGGAAAACAACATTGTTAGCGATAAAAACAGAATAAAATAAGAAGGAATTAATATTGGGAGTACGAACCAGAGTGTAGAAGTTCCTGAGGTCGTGTCCCCCGCCAACTTCGATCCTGGGTTGAGAAACCACCTGGGAGGGCCTGAGCTCACGACTATTAATGACTTCTCTGTTATTGGGGTAGATGACCCTCATAGACACCGACCTCGTAAAGGGGTCCACTACGTCTCCAATTACTCTTCCTACTACCAGAGGATCCATTTCTCTGTTTCTCATTGTTCTATTGCCTTCCACGACTACCCCACACAACAACCTCTATTTATATCTCTTTCCCCCTCGATCTGTAACCTTCAACATTTGATGTCAGTGGATTCTGTTTCAGTGTTTTCCTTTCCCTTTCGCTTTTTATTCGTTCACTTTTCCCACTGATGTTTGTGATATATTCTTTTCAAAAGCTTTAAAAAATATATATATTTGCGGTATAGGAAATAGCATATATAAATATTGATCTTTTTCAAGAATGACCAGAAATCATTTTTTAGAACATGTCACTGAATTATCAAGGGTCATAATAGGTGTTGCCTGGTATGAATGAATTCACTGAACCAAGCGAATGTGTAATCCTACCAATAACCATTTTTTCTTCTGTTATATGACACGCGTTGTAAAATTTCTGTATGCTAATTGGTGTATTTGGATTATTGCAAATCATATGCTTTAAATCTAAATAGATTTTGTTATTATGATGACATATATTTACTCTTTTGAATTGCTGGATCCAAAAGAGGATACTGGATTAAAAAAATTAAAATGAGACTAAAGTGTGATATTTTAGCAATAATAGATGATATGTACAACATCTAGTTTCATGAAAAAAATGGAATGTATATTGTAGAAGTATATGCAATAGATAGAGCGTACGTATATAAAATTATAATGCTTTTACGGTACTTAATGTAAGATTTAATTAACTAATTTGAATAGATTAAAAATACTAATTAAATTAATTAATATGATATATTTTTTCTAAAATACTCTAAGCATCTTTTTAATTACCGCTCTCTTTTTCCTTACTTAATTATTGTTGAAGGCATATTAATAGGTTAATCTAAAAAAATTGATAAAATTGTGATACAAGTCTTGTACATAGGATCAACACTAATTTTTTTAATGAGGTCTTATATTAAAAATATAGAAGAAATAATAAAATAGATTAGCTAAGAATACCAGAGAGAGAAGGGCACATGTGGTTGGTTTAGGAGAGCATTGAGGATCAAGAAATGGTGGTTTGTCTCCCCATAGACTTAGTGTGAAGCAGGAAGCTAAGTTAACGTGGTAGGGACGCTACATTCATTTGATTAATGACTTGTCAACCGAATTAGTTTCAATATTCATCATATGATGGACATCCTAAATTTATTAGAACTGAATCATCCATATCTTATTTGGATAGTCAAGATTTGATTTTTTGTTTATTCAAAATAATTATTTTAATATGTATATAATCTAAAATAAAGATAATCTTTTAACTATCATTATTTTAAAAAATAGTTTTTCCTATTTAAAAATTTTAAATTTAAACCGTTCAAATTATATATAAATAGTCTAGATTTGATGTGTTTAGAGTATTTATTAAGGTGATAAGTATTGAAACCAGCTCTCTTATCAATCAGATATAGAAATAAATTCAGATCACCCATTCTCTCTTACACCAAAATGGCCACACAACATCTCATTCCTTTCCAACGCACGTCTCATCTTTTATCTTTCTCATTATTCTGCCCTTTGACTTGTTTTCTGAATTACATATCACCACTCTATTTTCCTTTTCACTCTGGTTAAGAGAATCAATCAGAAGTATTTTTTGTGTGGTATTTTTAAGATAAAATTTATTTCACATACTTATCATGCAGTATAAAACCACTTAAAATAAGTTAATTTTTGTAAAAATTGTAATACATAAAATTTCTGTGTGCTAATTGATGTATTTAGATTATCGCAAATCAGATGCTTTAAAGCTAAATAGATTTTGTTATTATGATCACATGTATTTACCCTTTTGAATTGCTGGAAAGAGGATATTGGATTAAAAAAAATTAAAATGAGACTAAAGTGTGACATTTTAGCAATAATCAGTGAACAAAAAACCAGTTCAGACCAGTCGATTCAATTGGTAAATTGGTAAACCGGTCAGTAGGCCGGTTTGGTTTGGATACTAAACCGGGAGGGAGTTAAACCGGTAAAGAACCGGTCAAACCGGTGTGAATCAATAAAAAGTAGTGTGAACCGGTAATAAACCGGTTTGAATAATTTGGTTGTTATTAATCTTATTTTTTTTCATGCAGCTCATAATATATTAGCCCTTATAAATTTAAATGAATTTTAATGATAATTTTGGTAACAATAATTATTAATTTTAATTAATGATGAACCATAAAAATCAAAATTTTCAATATTATTATACTTTGTTATTGTTACAATCAAATTATTGTCATATTTTCTTATATTTTGTTATTAGTGATTGTTAATGTTGCTATATTTCATTATTTTTAATCAAATTATATTATTTTAATATGACTAGTTGGATTCCGAGTTGATCTCGGTTCGACCAACTGACCATTAAATTACTACCTCAATCAGTTTAATGTTCAGTTCAGTTTTTTGTTCCTTGACAATAATGGATAATATGTACAACATCTAGTTTTATGAAACGAATGGAATGTATATTGTAGAAGTATATGCAATAGATAGAGCATACATATATAAAATTATAATGCTTTTACGGTACTTAATATAAGACTTAATTAAATAATATGAATAGATTAAGGACGTTAATTAAATTAGTTGATATGATATGTTTTTTCTGAAGTACTATAAGCATTTTCCTTAATTACCGCTCTTTTTCTCCTACTTAATTATTGTTGAAAGCATATTAATAGGATTAATCTGAAAAAGTTGATAAAAATGTGATACAAGTCTTGTATATATGATCAATACTAATTTCCTAATTAAGTCTTATATTAAAAAAGGAAGAATAATAAAATAGATTAGTTGAGAATTAAAAAAAAAAAAAACAAAGAGAGAGAAGGGCATGTGTGGTTGGTGTGGCTTTAGGGGAGCACTGAGGATCAAGAAATGGTGGTTTGTCTCTCCATAGAATGAGTATGAAGCAGGAAGCCAAGTTGACGAGGTAGTGATACCACATTAATGAAACCGAACTAGTTTTAGTACTTGTTATTTTGACGAGCACTATAAACTCATCAAATTTGAATCATGCATACTCATTTGGATGGTCTAGATTTAATTTTTTTTTATTCTTTATTCAAAATAATTATTTTAATATGCATAGAATCTAAAATAGATATAATCTCTTAACTATCATTCTTTCAAAAAATAGTTTTTTCTATTTAAAAATAATTAATTAAAAATTTTAAATATAAACCGTTCAAATCAGATATAGATGGTTCAGATTTGATGAGTTTAAGATGTTCATCAAGATGATAAGTATTGAAACTCGTACTCTTATCAACCAGATATGGAAATAAATTCAGATCACCCAGTCTCTCTTACACCAAAATGGCCACACAACATCTCATTCCTTCCCAACGAACGTCTCATCTTTTATCTTTCTCATTATGCCGCTCCTTTGTCTTGTTTTCTGAATTACATATCACCACTCCATTTTCCTTTTCACTCCGGTTAAGAGAATCAATCAGAAGTATTTTTTTTTTTTAATTTTATAAGATGAAATTTAGAAAAAAAATGGCAAAAAAGACTGTCAAAATAAAAAAATTATAAATAAGGACTTATAACAACATTAGTATGGGTTTTGACAACAATAATATGGGTTCTAGCAATTTTTACAAACCGGTCTCTGTGTGTAATTTTTCTATGTCAATGATTTTTTTAAATATTTTTTCTAAAATTTATTTCACATACTTGTCGTGCAGTATAAAACCACTTAAAATAAATTAATTTTTGTAAAAATTGTAATAACTGAATCCTAGTGCCCGAAATTTTAAAAATAAACTAAAGAAAGAAGTGAATTACCGAATGCTTATTTTGTGGTCAAAGAATTTTCAAATATAATATTTGACCGATCAATTTAATTCTATTTGTTTTTCCCGCTGGCTGCACGACCATATTCGCTTAAAAGTCTCTTTCATGGTTCGTGAATTTTTTTGCTAGCTGAAACTCATACGAATTAAGGAAGCGACATGTGATACTACCTGTATACGACAATTTGCTCTGGGTTTCCGTTCAATTAGTTGCGTGGAGCCTCAAATCTTTTGATGTAGAGCATGATAAGAGATCCCATATTTGCAAGAAGAAATATGGGAATATATCCGCACTACATTAATAATGAAGTGGGATGAAAGCCAAAAAAATTCTCGCCCGACCCCCCCGCTTAATTTTCAGCAAGGACACGGCACTTAACTAACCAGCTAATTTTTAACGTATTCTCGTTCATTAATGCAACGTATATGCAACACACAGGTCAATATTACTTTTGACTTTCAGCTACTAATTATCCAATGTAACGTTCTTTAATTTGATCCTACACTGGCGCACGATCCTCGTATTGATCCCAAGATTCAAAGAAAAAAGATCCCGTCTATGTATAGTTGCTGGCTCGTGCTGCGTTTCTCTAGATTTTTCTAATATGAAATTTTCGCATCTTGCGGAAGATGCTTTTTACACGCCTTTTTAATTCCTAACTGGAACTCTAACAACGTAAGTGTAACATAATGCATGCCCCACCAATCTATTGAAAATGGATTCTAACAGCTGGGACAAATAATAGCCGTGTGCAAACGCTAAAATTTGGCATAGACAATTGGCAACTTTAATTAAATTTGTATCTTATGACTAGCTCGGGTTTCAAAACAGTAAGATGAAGTATGGAGATGGATATAGAAATTAAGGATTCAAATTCTTCTCGAATTAAAAAAAAAAAAAAATCTATTCAAATGACCGGAGGGTCTCTTTTTTGAAGAAAAAGTATATATACCTTCGCTAATTGGGTTTACATTTCTAATTGGAAATTAAGAGAAAGGGGACCATAGTTGAAGGTGCTATACACTTTGCCGCAGAGGGTATCTTATATAGAATGGAAGGTGGAACATTGGTGGCCAATGATCGGAGGACGAGGCTGGAGGAGGAATTTGTGGAAAGCTAATATTAATTGCTGTCCAACAAGAAGTGTGTGCAAGAGGAATTAATTTGAAAAAGGACGAGGAATGGATCCCCTCATTATCTTCAAAGCAATAATATAATTAAAATGTGGATCGAGTACTTCAATTTCATTCTTTCGTCTTTTGACCAGGTCCCTCAATGGGAATTTCTTGATAATTCAGAGAAATCAGTTCTCCGTTGCATTCTCCAGACATACCCCATCACGACATATACCTTGGATTGTTTCCTAGTAATAATGTCATCAATATATAAGAGAGAGAAACGAGAAATTAAAAGCATGCAAGCAGTATCTGGTTCCAGGTTTCATTCTTGGCGTAAAGACAATATTCAATGTTAAAAGAATGGTTTGGTCCTGAGAGAACCTTCCATTTAAGGAAAACTTTTATATTGGTCCTATACAGGGTTTCTACATATGTCTCACGTAGAACATATGGCCTGCACTCATATCATACGCGCAGACACACATCATGAGCGTGGTGCTGAGATTGTTGAAATAGGTTAAATTCATTGAGTTGACTTGTTTAATCTACTCCAAATAATAGGTTGAGCAATAAGTATACATTTGATTAACTGGTAAGAATAAAAATTGGTCTAGCTAGTAAAGATGCAACTCATATATGCTAAATAGACGTGGGTTTGGATCACAATATGTAGATATAGGGTGAGCGTATAGTATTTTAGACAGACCTAATACTGAACGCAGATAACGAAGGTGTTGAAGTTGGTTGAAAGCTTTGTGTGTGGGAGGTGGGAAGGATGGAGATGGAGGAAGTGGAAATGAAGGGACGAGAACAAGATAAGATAGGAATTTTAAAATGAGGAAACCGCGTGCCATGGAACTTGATACTTGTCGGCAACCAAATTCAAAACGCGGAACCAAGAATAAGCTCTCTGGAATTTCACAGCTTTAACACGCCGTCAACATAAATGACCGCGACCCTCTGCTTTTGCCCTTCTTCTCCACGCATACAAGACAACACTCCAACAATCATCCATGTCTTTCTGCGGTCCTTTCATCTCCTTCATCATCCAGCATATCCACAAGCACTTACGTAAATCAGTTTTCCAATTATTCTGCATGTGGTTGCTGAAAGATATTTTATTGCCTTATAAGGATGGATGACAGGGAGCAGAGAGAGGCATGGTGGAGAGCTATTTCCCGATTTGGATGTAAATTCTGATGCAATGGAATCTTGTCTACATCTTTTACGGCCTCGAACCATCAGGTCGTATATCTTTTTATTTAGTTTTGAGGAACTAAGGCCTTTGGATTTTGCAAATTCCAGCTAGCAGTCATTCTAGTTCCACAGAATGCCTCCAATAAGTAGAGTTACCTGAAAAATATAATTCTGATCCATCTCCCAAAACTCTAAACACGAACCCGCACAGAGAGACGAATATAATAAATCTACATTTCTTTAATATCATTTTTTTTTGGTTGAAAGAAGTTTAAGTAGTGACTTAGATCCTGGGCCAAAGCCAATTAGATTCCCCACTAATATAAGGACCTCATATTGATAGTAAGATTTGAATCTCATAAGTTATAAACCAACTCCCAGCTGAACTAATTTTTGTTGGCTCTTTAATACTCCTTCGGTTCTAAATATAAGACCTATTTATTACAAAATGGATTTTATATTTAGGATCAGACGAGTATCATATTTTAAATAGGTTGTTATAATTTATATCAATTTTTAAATAGGCCCATGCACACAGCTGTACAACATTTTTAGACGCATCCCTTTAATTTTATAAAATACAATAAACAGAACAGACGCGATGATGAATACCACAACTTTGATCGCGAGGATCTTACTAGATTTTGAATTTTATTTTCACTTGCTTATATAGAAAGTGACGGACATAGTGTGAAATCAGAGTTTGGATAGTTTTTTTTTTTTTTTTTTTTTGTTTTTTGTTTTTGTAACGGGGAGTTCGTAATGGAGAGTTGTATTGGGGTGCATCAGCATGGGATCAGAAAAATTGTGAGGAGCCGGTAAGCCCAATGATGCTTTTCTGGATAAAGGCCGGGCCCAATTGCCAACGACTCCTCTAGATCCCGCCAGTGAAAACTGACAACCGTGAACAAAACTCATCGCTTCGATTCAAAAAGCGAGGGAAACAAACCGCACAATTCCTGCACCCGCCTCTTCTTACTATTGACATGTGCCCCTGCTATTAATCGGTGCTCTTTGCGCTTAGTCTGCTACCATGGCATTTTCTTTACTGTCGCGTTTTCATTTCCTTCTCGGTACTTGTCTCTCAGACTGCTTCCCCTTTCCCCCTACAAATACCACATCCCCACGTCCCATGTCTTCCACCTCCTCCATTTTCTCTTATCTGTTGCTCTGTTCTTGCTTTCTTTTTCTTTTTAATTTCTTGCGAAGTTCACCCCTTCTTTGCTATTTTCATTTTGTGCAGACGGATGGGATTTCTCGTACACCCGCTGTGATGTATCACCCCAACCTCTCGTTTGCTATTAATAACGTATTGTAATAAGCCTTACTGCGACTTAATGTTGAACAGATTTTTTATATCCTTGATCAAGTGCGAGCTTTGGAACATGAAATGCTTCTTAGAATCCAAAAGCAGGGGCTTGACGTGTCTCCAAAAATTCTCATTGTAGGTGGATGCCAAAGTCCTTCCCACTTTTCGATTAATTAATTGATGTATAGATCGAACTATTAGAGTTGCATTTATATTTACAGACAAATGGTGCTTCTAGGTTACGAGATTGATACCACAGGCAAAAGGGACAACATGCAATCAAAGACTTGAAAAAGTCAGCGGAACTGAACATGCACACATATTGCGAGTACCTTTTAGAACCAGGAATGGAATTTTGAGGAAATGGATTTCAAGATTTGAAATTTGGCCATATCTAGAGACATTTGCAGAGGTAAGCATCAGAAATGCTTCTATGTTCGTCTTATTTTCAGATTCCTTCATGCGGTCTGTGTCCTCCCTTCCTTTCGTGCAGAGGTGATCCCTTATCTTCGTATTTTTGTTAGACAAATAATAATTTGCTGTCCGTCTGGGCCAGCGATCAGCAGCAGCCTAGTTTTAGGATATTCCACCAGTTATCAGTGGCTTCCTCTTTGAGGGAGCATAAATTACCGTATTCTCATGATAAGATGGTTGTTTCTTTACTTTAAATAGGATGCGTCAAATGAGATTGCTGCTGAGTTACAAGGAATTCCAGATCTGATAATCGGAAACTACAGTGATGGAAATCTTGTTGCATCTTTGTTATCTTATAAGCTAGGGATCACGCAGGTGAGTTGACACTTCAACAAATTATTCTCATGTCATATAATTATTTACACATGCAGGTGTAAACCTTTTTTTTGGGGAATGGCAAGACTGAACATGCTTTTGCGAACCTTTTTACTCAATTTTCTATGCAGTGCAACATTGCTCATGCATTGGAGAAAACAAAGCATCCTGACTCTGTTATATATTGGAAGAAATATGAAGATAAGTACCAATTTTCTTGTCAATTTACCGCTGATGTTATTGCAATGAACAATGCTGATTTTATCATCACCAGTACATTTCAAGAAATTGCGGTAAGGTAACTTTTTTCCCTTGGAGCTTCTTTCTTTCTTTCTTTGTTTTTTTTTTTCTTGTTTTTTTTTAGGTTCTTTTATTTTCTTTCTTTTTTGGGCCTATTTTCCTAGGGGCTTCGAACTCAAGGTACATACTTGATCGTCAATATGTTTCAGAGGCTCTAGGCCTAAAAATAAAACGGAGAAATTGTTTCAGAGATTTGATGTCATCAAGAAGGTTACATTTGTTTAAGAGTAATCATGTGCCCATTTAAATGGTGTTCTAGTTCAGATCATTTAGCCCACGATAGTTTGGTGATCCCATCCAACACATCTCCCTTCCCTTTCACCAATCAAGCATTCGTAATTACCCCAACTAACATGCATATATGGCCCAAAAGGGGCAAAAAAAAAGAAAAAAAAAAGAAAAAATACCCCGTCTAATCTGAAATCTGAGTGCTCCAAAACCATGTTTGGTGGGTAACCTCCTCCACTATTTACTGCATCCGAAAAGCACTCTGAATACCATGGTTTGGTTATCCAACACTCCCTTAGTCATGGCCACACAATGAGGACATATGATGTGACTAAGGATTTCGCAAGATATGCATTCACCAAAGGCAATCGAATGAAACTCTGAAGTCAGCAAGCATATTCGGAAAATTGAATGTCAATTTCGCATCATAATTCAGCATTTTATTTTGAAGAACTAATATTCTGTACCTTTTTCAATGGTTGAACGTATGATAATTTTCTGAATGTGCCGGTTGCTCCACCGATCATATATGCCTAACCATGTCTTCAAACTTTGCCCCAGCAAGAATAACGTTGGACAGTATGAGAGCCACACAGCTTTCACTCTTCCAGGACTGTATCGAGTTTTTCATGGCATTGATGTTTTTTATCCCAAGTTCAATATTGTGTCTCCAGGAGCCGACATGAGCATATATTTTCCATACTCTAGCAATGAAAAGAGGCTTACTGCTCTACATGTTTCGATTGAAGAGTTGTTATACGGAGCAGAACAGAATGAAGAGCACATGTGAGTATCTTCCAATAAACTTTACATTTTGCATGGTAAAGAGACGCTTGTTTTTATCCGGATTAAGATTTACCTGTGGGCCTATCATACATCACCATATAACAACGTCTTTAATACTTTCCCTTTGTCTTTACTAATGCAGTGGTTTGCTAAATGATCGATCAAAGCCAATTATCTTTTCTGTGGCGAGACTAGGTCGAGTGAAAAATTTAACGGGACTTGTTGAATGCTTTGGTAAGAGTTCCAAACTGAGAGGACTTGTAAATCTTGTGTTGGTTGGCGGCAACATTGTTGTAAAGAAATCGAGGGACAGAGAAGAATGGTGGAGATAGAAAAAATGCACGACCTCGTAAAAAAATATGACTTGCACGGGCAATTTCGTTGGATAAAGACCCAGACGAATCGTGCACGCAACGGGGAACTCTGCCGTTACGTAGCTGATGTGAAAGGTGTATTTGTGCAGGTATGCTGCTGAGAACATAGATAAGGATTCGCTTGACTTGTAAGATGTTTAATGGCTGATTAGCGTACTCGACCATGTTGTGAACTGTTGCAGCCTGCTCTTTACGAAGGATTCAGGCTAACAGTGGTCGAAGCTATGACATGGGGCCTTCCAACATTTGCCACGTGTCACGGGGGCCCAGCTGAGATCATTGAGCATGGCATTTCTGGATTCCATATTGACCCGCATTACCTTGATCAGGTTGCCGCAGTTTTAATCAACTTTTTTGAGCGATGCAAGCACGATCCTGGCCACTGGAGCAACACGTCTGACGCAGGGCTTAGGCGCATTCACGAGAGGTTGGGCTTTGCTAGATGCACTCTTCAGAAGACTTTCTCTCTGCTTGGAAACTGATTTTCGGATAACGGTCTTTCATTCTACAGGTATACATGGAAGATATATTCAGAGAGACTTCTGACTTTGGCTGGTGTTTACGGGTTCTGGAAGCATGTATCTCGGCTGGAGAGGAGAGAAACTAGGCGATACCTCGAGATGTTTTACATCCTGAAGTTCCGGGACTTGGTAAGTCGCGTTCCTCTCGCAGCAGTTAGCCCATCTTGACTCTCCAGCAACACCTTTTAGGGGCCCTTCTCTTACCCCCCCCCCCCTTCTCCTTTGTTCCTTTTGCCTTGTCTTTTCTTTCTTTTCTTGGGCATAGCTGATTGCCATCTCTATCTATAATGGAAATGGGATTGTCTGAGCACACTATCTGCTTATCTTTCTTTGAATGGAACCCAACGCCAAAGTTAGAACTCGGCGCTGGGTCAGTTCTGTGTAGCGCTTTCACGATTAGCCTCATTATCACTTCCATGATGGTGTCCCTTCTTCACCCTTTGTTGTTTGTGTTATTCAGATAAAGTCAATTCCCCTCGCTGTCGATTAACAGCATTGGATTTGGACCACATTCAAGGAGCTTCTCGACGAAAAAAGTCAGTACTGTCTCTGACTCTGAAATTCTCAGCTTCTTCAAGAAAATATTAAACTTGTTAAACTTATTTTTTCCCGCACAAAAGAAAATCTGTTTTAGAGCCGTGGTTCCGCATTTATTTAGCTGGAAATTCGGAGACAATCAAAATTGGGAAGTTTAATTACAATAGACGTCATCTGCATCATTTGCTGTGTGATGAGCCTGAGCAGACCAGTTATTATTTTCGGACTTGATACATTCCTGCAAGTTCTGTACAGATAATATGGTTTCTGAAATGTGAGCTAGTTAGGTTTTTTGGGTGGTCAAAGAGGTGCAAGATTATGCCAGTCCAGGAATTGGGGCAAAGGTCCACCAGCAGTTGTATATGAACTCTTCGAATAAAGATTAGTTTCTTTTTATTAATATTATTATTTGTTATAACGATTAATCTGGATTGAGTTGGCTGAATTAGAATTGCGGCGAGCCCTTCAAAATGAGACTGTATACCCAGGGTTTTTTTAGCGGGGCTATGCATTTGTTAAGTTCAAAGATTGGTTTCTTTCATTAGTGAATGTTTAATTTTTCCCCCAAAAGAAAAAAAAATTGAATATTGATGTTAGCTATTTAACATTTTTATTTTACATAAAACTTCCATATATTAGCGTTTTGAAAATGACACCAAGTGAAGAGATTGATGATGTGAGATGGCACTCTTCTTCGACCCATAGAATCTGGTAGGTCTCAGGTGGTGTTCGGCATTGCCTCCAAAAGAAGTTGAGGAGAGGAAGCAGTAGGCTTCTACGATGAACAGACCATATGTTTGCATTTTTTAATGGTCGAACATTTCGTTAGTGTCAGGTCAACAAAATGAATTGTGGCCTTTGGCCACGCCGAATCATAATAATGCTTTTATGTCAAGAAAATCATCAGTAGAAAGTCTTCGCCTCCCACGTATCGAGTCATCATTATCTCTGAGCCATAGCCTCACTCTATTTTATTTTCTCGGTTAAAATTTTAATTTAATAAAATATCTATTTCTCTGTTTTAAAAGTGTTTTAATTTTAAAATAAAGGGAAAATCCAGAAAAGCCCCTGGAATATACTAAATCCCAGATTGGGTCCTTAAATTTCGAAAATGACAGAATGGGTCATTGACCCAATCTGTCATTTGTGAAATTCAGGCGAATTGACATTTTTGCCCCTAAGCAAAAGTGAGTAGTTATTCTCTAAACAAATCTAGGTAACGCTTACACTGTTCTAGTGATTACAAGATTCTTTGTAGTTAATAATAAGGTACCTGACAATAATAAGATACCTGACTATGAAAAAATGAGTAGTTATTCTCTACACAAATCTAGGTAATGCTTACATTGTTCTAATGATTACAGAATTAGTTGTAGTTAATAACAATACACCTGATTATAAAAAAGTGAGTAGTTATTCGCTACACGAATCTAGGTAACACCTAAACTCTTATAGTGATTCCTTAAATCATTGTAGTGAATGAATAAATGAGGGCAAAATTGTCAATTCGTCTGAATTTCACAAATGACAGATTGGATCAATGACCCATTCTGTCACTTTTGAAATTTAAGAACCCAATTTGTCATTTCTCATATTCTAATAACCTTTTTTGGGATTTTCCCTAAAATAAATTGCAAATTTAAAACAAAAGAAAAAATTGATCGCAATTCAAGAGTAGCCGTGTAATGATAATGTTTTGGTTTTATGCTTAACTTCTCCATAATCCATGTGATGCTGATTTTGTCCATTTAAAATCTTTCAAGGTGACCGGCTTACAGAACCGCTTCCATTCTTCCTCAGTTCCGTGACATAATAGCTTCTGTCTTATCTTTAATACTACCTCCGGTCCTAATTATAAGAGCCTGTTGACTAATTTGAGGAGATTAAGGAAGTAAGTTAAGTTAGTTATTTATTCTAAATAGTTATTGTCTTTCCTAAAATATCCTTACTAATAAAGTGTCTTGACTAAAACTATCATTATTAGAAGGACTACTTTGAAAAAAAAAGTATAATTATAAGAGACAAAGTGGATTGGAGTCTTATATTTAGTGCCAAAATAAAAATCAAACAGAGTCTTATATTAAGGACAGAAGGTAGTATAGTTTAACTTTTAGTTTGAATCTAAATATAAAATTTTCTTTTACTTTATTTCTCATATTTATTATTTTTTAAAATAGTTTTTATAATAGTTGTGTGTTAATAGTTTTAGTTAATACACGTTATTAGTAAATATATTTTAAAACATATAAAATTTATTTATTATAAATAATTAATTAAATAAATTTATTTAATCTAAGTCAGATTTTTATATTAAAGGTTGGATGTAATATTTGTCTTCACCGTTATAAATTATTACTCCCTCCGTTCCTTATTATAAGAGACACTTAATGTTTATACCATGTTCCTATATATAAGAGACACTTACAAGTTGTCTCTACTTTTTTGTGTTGATTTACTATTTTACCCATATATTATCTCCAACTCACACTCTCTCTCCCTCCTACTTCTCTTTCTTTTAATAATTTAATTGTTCTCTCTCCTTATTAATGAGGACATTTTTGGAAAAAAATTATACTTTTTATACATTAATTGTTTTTAACTAACTTTAACTGTTTTTTTGATCAACGTACTTCGGTTATTTGTCTGTTATAATAAGGAACGGAGGGAGTAATAAACACAAGATATAACATCTCAACATATAAATGCGCGGCGGAGGGGATCACCGGGTCATTGATTCTGACGATTGCGGTTGAATTCGAAGTTGGGTAATGGCAAGGAGAACATCTGAGCTTGTCCGACAAGTGAAACCAACTGAGGAGTTCGATCTCAGCGCCTTGTTTCGCTATGCGTCCGCCAATATCTCAGGCTTCCCCCACTCTCCCTCTCATTTCGTCGTCTCCCAGGTCGGCTCCTTACATGTTTGGTGTTTTGGTTGGTTTGCTTCTTCTTTGTTGGTTTTTGGCCACTGTTCTCTCGTTTGACTTTTCATTTCCATGGTAAACTGTAGTTTGGGCACGGGCAATCGAACCCCACCTACTTGCTGGAAGTGGGCTCAGGGGATGCGGTGAAGCGTTATGTACTAAGGAAGAAGCCTCCAGGAAAATTGTTGGCATCAGCTCATGCCGTTGACAGAGAATTTCAGGTGGTTTATGGATTTCAATGAATTTTTGTACTTGACGTCAATGTTTCCTTGCAATTCTACTTTTTTGCATTGAGAAAACGCTTACATGTTGGTGCCAGTGATTAGAAAATTGACAGTGCGGTTGAATAGATCGCTTGGTATTTGAGACATTGTTACTTCCCTTGTCTTGTTCAGTTGTTGGGAATTGTACTAAATAATATCAGTATGTTGAATAAGTAACAGTTTCTTGTGTTTTTTTCCCATGTTCAGGTTATCCATGCGCTAGGCACTTACACCCAAGTTCCCGTTCCCAAGGCTTTCTGTTTTTGCAATGATCCGAGTATAATTGGAACAGCTTTTTATATCATGGAATATTTGGACGGACGCATATTTATTGACCCCAAGCTACCAGTATGATTGATCATTTGGCTACCTTAAACCCTTTTGACTAAAATTTTCGATGGTTTATTAGATTTGGTTTTCTTTTCTTCCATTCTCACTGTGAATTCCTAATTACTATCGGCTTGATCACTAAATTACATTATGTTAATGTGTTAATTTTAGGGCTTGGCAGCAGAAAGGAGGAGGGCAGTTTACCGGGAAACTGCCAAAACTTTAGCTTCCTTACATTCTGTTGATGTGAACTCCATTGGACTGGGAAAATATGGGTGGCATAACGATTATTGTAAAAGACAGGTGGCTTAGTTACAGCTGATTTCAAACTGAAATGATTATCTATGTATGGTCAATATTATGCCCTGAAATTGCCGGGTATAAATTGGCTTGTGCATTAAACCATTATTACAGCACAATATGTGAAAGAATTTGCAGAAGTACTTTTGGTCGTGTTATTTAAAAGTTTGACCAGGCCTCTCATTTTTGTTGAGTTATTTGAAAAGAGGGATAGGATTAATTTTTATTTTTACCAATTCTGAAGGAATTATTGATTCTCTATTAATCTTAGGTTGAGAGGTGGGCCAAGCAATATATTGCTTCAACCAGTGAGGGTAAGCCTGCAAGTAATCCTAAAATGTTCGCACTGGCTGATTGGCTTCGGCATCATATTCCACTTGAAGATTCTTCAGGAGCAACAGCTGGCCTAGTCCATGGAGATTTTCGCATTGATAATCTTGTGTTCCATCCCACTGAGGTATGCTGTGCATGATAAGAATATTATTGCTTTTTCTTTGGTGCTGTTGTCAATTCATGGGTATTTCTATCAGCTCATGGTCCAAGTTAGATGAAAGACAGAAATTTCACTCTAGGCAGTGTCAAAATTAACAGTAAATTCTATGCCATATCATATTTATTTCTATTGCAGGATCGAGTCATCGGTGTGCTTGACTGGGAATTGTCAACCCTCGGTAACCAAATGTGTGATGTTGCATACAGCTGTTTGGTACGTAGCATATAAAATCTGACTCAAGACTGGTGCTTACAGGGCTATTCGTTGCATTATGTGGCATATGATATTATCTTCATTTCTTTCAATAAAAAGGGAACCACTAATTCAGTTCATGGTGTCCTTGCAGCCTTATATTGCAGACGTTGGGCATGACAACATATATAAAGGTCTGGAACACCTCGGAATTCCAGGAATTCCTACACAATCCGAATATTTGGCTGAATACTGCTCTCTGTTAGTAAGCATCTTCACACGATAATGTCATATTTGCTGCTCTTTTCTCTCTCTGTTTTTTTCCCCCCAAAAAAAATAAAAGTCTTCGTTGGATTATTCAGGCTTTAATCAAGGAAAGCCTATTTATCTCTCTTACTTGGATGAAGTGCTTAGTTTTCTATATTTAAAAAAAAAAAAACTGATACTCCTCCGGTCCTAAATATATACTAGTATAAGGGTCTTATATTTAGGACTGGAGGAGTATTAAAATTCAGAGGTGTGGCAGAACTTCTGCGGAAAAAAAAAAGAAGTGGAAGCTGAATGATAGTAGGTGCAATTCTTATGCTGTGAGAAGGAAGCAAGCAATTGGAGCTTTCTTGGAAGCAATGACAGAAACAATTTTTTAGGGCAACCATACGACTACTCAAAATAAGTAAAACAACAATTAAAAGTCAAACTTGTATGTCCCTTTTTCTCATAATTTGTTGATTAGAGTTTTTTTTTTTTTTTTTTTTTTAAGATTTACCCAACGTAAATTGCTTCTCGATTATTATTACAGACACTTGTTAAATAATTTGCCAAATACAAACCGTTTCACTCAAAGCACTTCTTTCAAAAGTCCATTTGAAAATGAGCTATTTTAAAATAAGCAAGGATCTGTGAAGGGCATGCAACCTACCTGAAGACATATCCTTGTTAGAAAAGCTATTAAAAATGCTCAAGAATTACTTGTTAATTTCATTACTATAATTATATGAATTCTTCTAGATTGATTCTGGATGGAGTAGACAATGCTCTGCACTTTACAAATTGAAAATTGAACTATATCGTTTTTTTTTTTTTTAACTTGCTGTATTCATGGTCGTGTTATTGGCGTGGGTTGGTTTTACTATGTATCTTATAGTTTTGTGCTATGTTTATCGACCACATTATTATAATATGAGCAGTCCAGACCCATACCATGGCCTGGATATGGTTAACGAAATAGTGGTTGAATTATATGCTGTTTTCATTGAAATTGAAAAAAGGTCTGACCAGAGAAATTTTGTATGCCAGGGAAGAAAGTGGCCTGTTGCTGAGTGGAAGTTCTATCTTGCCTTTTCTTTTTTTCGTGCGGCTTCAATCTACTCAGGAGTGTATAATAGATGGACCAAGGTATCTTGACTTGTTAGGGATGCTTTTGTTGTGGAAGTTTATTTTTAAAAATTTGTACCTTCTTTCTGTTCATTCTAGGGAAATGCTTCGGGGGGTGAGCGTGCTCGTTATACTGAGCTACTTGCCAATGGTCTTATAGATGCTGCATGGGAATTTATCGAGCGCAGATCTGTGCTTCCTCAACGTCCTCCATCTGTAGGTAGACTGTTTAACTGTAATGGACTTCGCTTGCAAGTTGGCTCAAATATAATTTTGTCCTTATTAGATGCCAATTATTTTTCAAGGGAGTCAATATACCCAAAATAACTGAGTTTCATTGACTCTTTAACAATTAGATGCAAATGTGCAAGAGTATTCAAAAGAATTTGTGGATGAGGATGACATGCAAGGCTTTTCAAATGCGGGAAAGTTTATTCCTAATAAAAAGGTTTTGAAGCTGAAGAACAGACTAATCAAGTTCATGGAAGAACACATATACCCAATGGAGAAAGAATTTTATGAACTTGCCCAATCTGCATCACGTTGGACTGTTCACCCTATGGAGGAGAAGTTAAAGGAGTTGGCAAAGAAAGAAGGCTTGTGGAATTTGTGGATACCTGTATGCATCTCAATTATGCTCTTCAGTCATATAATTTATCTGTATTTTGTTGAAATCTTCCATCATGCTATTTTTAGCTTTGAAATTATGCTAGGTCCTTCCTCCATATATTCCATGTTAACCATGAACATTGCTTGTTTTGATCTGAAGTACAAGGGTTTACTGCTTTCTGCATCATCCAAAATTTAATATTATTATACTGAAAAGTCTGTATCTCCATTGCAATGAGTTAAAACTGAATATTTCAAGAGCCTCGTATGAGATTTTTTTATACTTTATCTTTGGATGCTATTTGGTATTTACCCCTGCTCAAGCCTCATGAAAAAAGGGCATTGAAATAGCAGGGTGCCAGTGCTGAAGGTTTAACAAATAGGCAGCGAAAAAATGTATATATTATGTTTAAATTTAATGAGGATGAGCAGTGTCCTTCATAGAAACAGTGGTGGTAAATTATCAGGATATAAACCATTGAATGTGCAATTTTATAGGAAAGGAAATTTGGAGAAATAAGAAAGGGTAACTCTAATACAGACGAGGCTTGTAATTATTTGTCACCTATGGTTCTCGTTCCTAGTCTAGTTGCCTTTTGAAATTAATATGCTTTGAGTCTCTAATATTTCTGTTTTTATGTAGATTGACAGTGCTTCCAGGGCAAAGAGCATACTTCATGATGAGATCAATAATAACCTCTCTGGTGATGCATATGACTGGTTATGGGGTGCTGGTCTCACAAACCTTGAATATGGATACCTTTGTGAGATCATGGGTCGTTCTGTATGGGCTCCACAAGTGTTTAATTGTAGTCCACCTGACACGGGCAATATGGAGGTACGATTAACGTTAAATAAGCAAATTTGACCGATAATTGAATGATTTTGACTCTACCAACTTCTTAAACTCTTCAATTAGATTCTGTCCCGTGTAGATCAATACCTATTTCTACTTCCATTGCATTATCGTTTGATCTAGTTGTAACACAGTACTTTGCATGTTAGGTTTTATTGCGCTATGGAAATAAAGAGCAATTACAAGAATGGCTCATGCCTTTGCTCGAGGGGAAAATTAGGTCTGGATTTGCTATGACAGAACCACGTGTTGCATCTTCTGACGCAACCAATATTGAGTGTTCAATCAGAAGGTAGACTTGTCGAGAACTCCCCCCCCCCTTCCAAAAAAAAAAAAAGAAAAACTTGCACTCGATCAAGAAAGCCTTTTAGGTGATATCAATGCATTAACTAGCAAATTAACTAAGAACGGGTTTGAGCCAAGCTTTTGTTAGAAAGACCAGCAGAAATATATCAGAGACAATGATATATATATCTGTATAACTTCATCATTTTTCGTATGTATATAGACAAGGAGATTCATATATCATCAATGGGAGAAAATGGTGGACTAGTGGTGCCATGGATCCAAGATGCAAGCTTCTGATAGTCATGGTGCGTATTTTGGTTGAAAAGCATTGCAGTGATAATATCCTTTGTGCTATGGGTCAGTATAGTTAATGAAGGAAATATGCACAGGGGAAAACTGACTTCAATGCAGCTAAGCACAGACAGCAATCTATGATCTTAGTGGATATTCAAACTCCCGGTGTACACATAAAGAGACCACTGATGGTGTTCGGCTTTGATGATGCACCACATGGACATGCAGAAGTCACTTTTGACAATGTGAAAGTGCCAGCAAAGAATATTATATTGGGTGAAGGACGTGGATTTGAAATTGCTCAAGTAAGCTTAGTAAACTTTTGCATTCAGCAGCGTGATGATGCTAGCGTGTGATATTTGTTTAGACCTTGCAGTGCGTTGTCCCCGAACTTGACCTTATTTTGAGCAACATTGTAGTTCTTCTTGAAAGTTTAGAGAAGTTATAGTCTGTGGTCCATGAGTTTGACCTCTTTAAACTATGATGATGATTATTATTTTGGTAAATGTTGCTGGAACTTTTGTTGAGTAATTGGGGGGGAAAATCATCTCATCTTTTGGGTAAGTGCAAATTATCCTTAGAAAGTGGATGCTAGAATGAGAATCAGAACATATTACACAGAAAAGAATTACAGGTTTAAATTATACACGATTGGATGGGGGCTTTTTGCCACTTGCAGTTTAGAGCTTCTTATTTTGCTTGAGATCTTCCGCTCAATTTCCATGGAATCTGGTGCTGACTTGTATTCTTACAGGGTAGGTTAGGCCCAGGAAGGCTACACCATTGTATGAGACTGATAGGTGCTGCTGAGAGAGGCATGCAGATGATGGTTGAAAGGGCTGTGAATAGGAGAACATTTGGGAAGTTAATTGCTCAACATGGTTCATTTCTTTCAGATATGGCCAAGGTTTTCTGATTTGTCTATGTGCTATAAGCTTATCACTGTCTATGATTGTTCGATTAGCGGAGCCTGTGACATATTTTATAGGATTGGGTATTTAGAAAGGTCAAAGATAGAAATTTCTCCCAGCGTGACATCATACAGAATCCTACTTATGTTTTTTTTTTTTTTTGGGTTCTCCTTTTTTGGGTCTAGTGTCGAATAGAGTTAGAGAAGACAAGATTGTTGGTGTTGGAAGCAGCTGATCAGCTTGATAGGATTGGGAACAAAAAAGCTCGGGGGATCATAGCCATGGCCAAGGTAATTCTTTCTCTCTACTTTGTAATACAAAATCGGGCCCTAATTTGTGGTGGGTTACTGTAATTTCAATCAATCAGGAAAGCTGTTTTTTTACTCTCAACACCATGTTACTCCTGGTTTTGGATCAGGTAGCGGCACCAAATATGGCACTTAAGGTGCTTGACGTGGCAATACAAGTGCATGGGGGAGCTGGCGTATCATCTGACACGGTGCTGGCGCATCTGTGGGCCACTGCAAGGACATTGAGAATCGCAGATGGCCCAGATGAAGTCCACCTAGGCACCATAGCCAAGTTAGAATTGCAGAGAGCCAAGCTCTAAGTGCGTCTATGTATTTGTTCTTTCCGCTGGAGCTGGGAAAGATGTCTATTATCACTTCGAGAGTAAGAGGCCAGAAATTCCTTGGATGATCTAAGCCTCGCAAGATGACTTTTCCGAAACACCCCCACGAAGTTGCTACTGTTTGAACATCTTATTTGGCCCCTGCTGTGTGATAACTAATAAGAAGCCAATCCATTTGTGCAAATGACTTTGTTTGGCCAAAAAAATTCATTTGTGCAAGAAGGAAGCCAATCCATTTCTAGCTGATGGATGTCATGAGACAAAACATGGATCTTAAATTTGGTTTTTACTCTTCCGGTCCTAAATGTAAGATGCACACTAGTATAAGGGTCTTACATGTGTACAGGGGTCTTATATTTAGGATTGGAGGAATATTTAATTAATTGTCTGACATTAATTATGTCTTTCCCTAATTTTTTGTTAAAACTCCGCGTTATTGAAATGCCACAGGCGGTGCTTCGAAGCTCAGGCGGCGTGTAGTGGAGTACGGGATACCACGTAGACAGAAAGAAATTAGAAAGGAGCGAGGCGATGGTTCCCAGGAAGTGAGGACAAGATTTGGCGCACTACAAATGGACAAGTCATGATAATTAAATATGTACCGGGGTTCACATATCAAGGACTCGGGGGAAAGGAAAAAAAGGAAAAGAAGGTCGGGTCTACGTGCACTGGCGCAGATTGATTTTAACCACGTGCGCGCACGTTTCGTTGCTAAATATGACGCAGCTCAACGTATCTCAATCCCTTACCTAATATTGTTTTCTTCTCTGAAATACAATTTTCTTAATTTATTCTTCTAGTGTAGTCCTGTGTACTTTTGCTATCCCTTCGTCCCATTTCATCGTTTTAACTTTAAAGGGCCAACCTAAAAACAATATTCTCGGAACTCTAATTGATAGAGGAACAAAATGATTGAAAATGAAATATTAACTTGAGGACTGAGGTGCTCAAAGCTTAAGGGATTGAATTAAAATATACTAAATTAATATATATTTGAGAACGAAACCAGCAAATTGCTTTATTAATCAATATCCATATATATATATATATATATATTGATCTATATTTGCACCATGCGGGGTAGATAGAGGCACTGAAGTCCATGTTTTGAGGGGCTCCACTGATTAAATTGATATGTTTTGCCCAAACAGAGCAAACAATTAAGTGGATCAAATAAGGTCAAGGGCTACAATTCAGTTAAACTGTTGGAAAATCGAAATGATAGGAGTTGGCGGAAAATATTTCAAGAAGCAAAAGGAGTCTTTGAAATTTCCACCTCCCGTCTGAGAGGTGCGCGCGTATATATGTATATAGAGAAGGGTGGGGTTTGAACTGAGAAGCAAAGCGCCCCCGAGGCTTTGAAAACCACAGTGACGAGCCAAACGCATTCATCCTCATTCTTTTCATTTTTCTTGGCATCTCTTTCCACAGAATAACAGGGAAAAAGATACGCCAGGAAAAAGAAAAGGATCGCAATAATTAAGGATGTCGGGCGACAATGGCAGCCAGCAGAGGAAGAAGAGGCTTGCCATTATGGGGGTCTCTTCGGTCCTTCTGGTAGCAATGGTAGCTGCTGTCGCCGTCGGCAATAGTAATTCAGGAAAAGACTCCCAGAACGGCACTACTGAGATTTCAACATCTCAGAGGAACGTCGACACGCTTTGCCTCTCCGCACAATACAAAGATACCTGCAAGAAGAGCGTGGAGGGCGTAGCGTCCGGCAATAACACCGACATGAAATCCCTCATCAAGGCCGCCTTTAACTCCACGGCGGAAGAGATCACCAATCAAATGAGGAACTCCACACTGTTCAGAGAGCTGGAGAAGGACCCCAGCACAAAAGACGCTTTGGACGTGTGCAAGGAGGTGTTTGGTTACGCGTTGAAGAGCATCAATGACTCCATCGATAAGGTGGACAAGTTTGAACTGAGCAGTCTGGGCGAATTCGCCTACGACCTCAAGGTTTGGCTGTCAGGAGCCATAACCATGCAGCACACCTGCCTGGATGGTTTTCATAACTCCACCACCAAGGCTGGGCAGACCATGGCCAGTGCACTGAAAACGGCCTTGGAGATGAGTAACAACGCGCTTGACATAGTGGAAGGCTTCTCCAGCGTCCTAGAGGATTTCAACCTGGACGACCCTCTCGATGACGTTGAAAACACGGAGGCCGCCAAAAACAATAGCAGGAAGCTGCTGACGACTGCCTCCTCCAAGGCGGAAGCCGTGGCGGCGAATGACATACCAACGTGGGTGGGCAGCCACCAGAGAAGGCTGTTGCAGGTGGGAAAAAAGGCATTGAAGGCAGACGCTGTGGTTGCTCAGGACGGGACTGGCCAGTTCAAGACATTGACGGATGCACTCAAGACAGTTCCCCCAAACAACAACAAGCCCTTTGTCATCCACGTCAAGGCTGGGGTATACAAGGAGGAAGTAACCATTGCCGCAAACACCATGAACTTTGTGACCATCGTCGGAGATGGGGCAACAAAAACCAGGTTCACCGGAGGCAAATCCCAAAAGGATGGGTTCCAAACTTTCCACACCTCATCATTCTGTAAGTTGCTTTAAGTTCGAATGAATCTCTAAGACGAGACGATAAAGAACTGCCATGTTATATATTCTTTGACTAAATACTCTACCCATGTATGCGTGTGCAGCGGTGAATGCCAATAACTTCATGGCAGTAGACGTAGGGTTCGAGAACACGGCAGGACCTAGCGCGGGGCCGGCGGTGGCGCTGAGGATAACCGGAGACAAGGCAGTAGTATACAGATGCTACGTGGACGGACACCAGGACACACTGTATCCGAGCGCCTACAGGCAGTTCTACAGGGACTGCATGGTGTGGGGGACCATCGACTTCATATTCGGGGATGCGGTAACAGTATTCCAGAACTGCACAATAATGGTGAGGAAAGGTGTGGATGGGCAGGAAGGCGTGGTGGCGGCCGGCGGGAAAAACCAGCAGGCAGGTCCCAGTGCTCTGGTGTTCCAGGGCTGCAAATTCCTTCCGGACCCATCCTACATGGATACAGCCGCCGTGAAGAACGGGTTGCAGATATCGTATCTGGCGAGGCCATGGAAGCCGTACGCAAAGACGGTGATCATAGAGTCGTACATCCATGAAATCTTCAACCCAAAAGGGTACATTCCGTTTACAGGATCCAACTTCGAGAATACTTGCACTGCTCTGGAGTTCGGCAACGTGGGTCCAGGCGGTAACGGTTCGCAGAGGGTGAAATGGCCCGGTGTGAACGCAAATCTGCCTCGGAACCAGGCTGCTCAATATTATCCCGGCAAATACTTCCGGGCTTCAAATAACGAAGGCGATGCGTGGATTGTTTCCTCCGGGGTCCCCTACTCAAGCGGCCCCATGCTAGCCTCTCCCTAGATCCGCACCTTCCTCCGTCTTGATTATATTCATTCGTTCGTTCATTCTTCTTCTTCTTTACCCCCATTCATGTTCTTCGATTCTCCCCCGCTTGAGATATAGGTTTCACATCATCAACTGTGAATTTTTGGAACACCCACCATTGCAGGAAAAAAAAAATATAAATAAGGTAAGGACTTCAGTTCGGGCGTAACTCCGGCTGGAAAAAAAAAAAAAAACAAGAAGAACGTAACCCGTGTTACGTGTTGTTTTTTCAATATTCTTTTTCCCTTTTTTTGGACAGAATGCTCCATTAATGTTGAAGAGGACAAATTAGTATTTCGCTCTTTCATTACGAGCTTCCATGCATGAACCATAACAAAAAGAAGTGAAATTATTTCCACAATCCCTTATTACCATTCACAATAAAACATGAGTAACTTACGGTAAAATTGTGCACACGAAAAACTATATTTTAATTAGAAGACATGCACTCTTTGTATTTTAATTGATGAATTTACTAAGAAAAGAAAACGAGAAACCATGATATGTTGTTTCGATTCTTCATGAAATAGGTATCAGTTGTTATTCAATTTGAAAAGCTAAATAAAACCTGCCGGGTGCGGGTGTGGGAAGAGATGCAGAATTCAAATCATAAAAAGAAGGCGGTGGGGGCGTCAAAAGAAGAGACCTATTGAAAGCCCAACTACAGACATAGTGAGCTGAGCCCAACCTAGGGTATAATTTTAACCCAGAGTACGTTCAACTGCCTCTTGAAAGGCCCCCAGACTCCTGCGCAGCAGTTGAACAACTACGCTCACAGTGAGCTTCAATAACCACCGCCGGCTCATACCATCCTGCCCTGCCATGCAGCCACGCGCAGCCATTCCGGTCCGATAGACGAACGGAGGCAGTTGTAGTTGCTAACTACATTTATCATTTTTGGTAGAGCTGCCCTGCACGTGTGTGGTTTTGGTGTGAATGAATAAGCCAGTGAAAGTTCAGTAAAAAAAAAAAAAAGAATAAGCCAGTGAGAGTGATCATATCATTCCCAAATAAATAATGAAAGCCAAAGCGCGTGGGAACAGAAAACATGGCGTCTTGCTGGGTTTCTCTGTAACTGTAACATTGTGACTAACCTTCAGCTGAGGCCCTCGTAGCTGGCATCCCGTCCATCGCCCGCTTTCTTCAGTTTTTTTTTTTGTTGCCCACCTAATTCACTGGAACTTTGTTCCAACTACATCTAGATCCGACCCGCGTCGCACACCTGGCTGTGATGGGTGAATCTCACAACGAGGATTTCTGCATACGCTGAGACTCGAACTTGAAACCTTGCTTAAGCGATACCAAACCGCTTATCACTTAAACCAGTCCCGTTGGTATTGCCCGCTTTCTTTCATCACAATCACATTCACCATTCGACTGTATACCCAAAGCCCAAAAAGGAAGGCCCAAAACAATACTAGCTCTGTACTTGTACTTAACATAAATGTTAATTTAACTTTTATTTTAATCTTAAATATAAGATTTTAATTTATTTTATCTTTTGTATTTTTTTTTTTCAAGTTAGTCCTAATGGCAGTTCCAACTGATACACTTAAGAAAAAATTGCAAATAAAGACTCCTATATGTAAAATTATGATTTGGGACCCTGAATTTGAAAAATAGCAAATAAGGACCCGATCCCACTTTTGTAAATATGAAATGTCTAAAATGTCCCTCAATTAAATTGTTATTTGGTCTACTGAAGTTTTCATTCGCTAAAGTAAACTTGTCATTTTTCATAATCAACTCGTCATTTGGCATACCCTCAACCAAATGGTAATTTGGATTTCTGAAGTTTTCATACGCTAAAGTTAACTTGCTATTTTTCATAGTCAACTTGTCACTTGGCTAAGGGGTATTTCAGACGTTTCACCATCATTTCATAATTGTAAAAGTGGGATTGGGTCTTTATTTATTATTTTCCAGATTCAAAGTCCCAAATCACAATTTATATATTGAGAGTATTTATTTGCAATTTTTCTTATACTTAATTAGTAAAAATAATTTAGGAAAGACAACACATATTTCTTATAAATAACTAACTTAACTAGTTTTAAGAACAAGGGGTAGTAAGATATGTTAAGTTTATCATCCAAGGAATTGGTTTTCTGCTCTTTCTCTAATTAACTAGGTGCGACTTGCCCGAAATCAAATGGAGCCATCTTCATCCGGCAGGGTAAGGACAGGAGGGAGTACCATTTTTAATTAAATTATTAAGAGAGAATTTTCTCTCGGAAATAAGCATCTGCCCCTGAAGCCATTTTCGCCTCTCACGGGCCCCTGCACTCCTTGTTACCAGCGGAAAGCGTGTGGGGTTTCCCGCTTATGAGAAAAACGACAGTCAGAGTTAACTTTACTTGTACCCCTCGCTCACTGCTCGGAAGCAACAATCCTTATCCCCCTCTTTTCATAGACAACAGAAACAAAACCAAGAGGCTAGAATACTAATTAGAATCTCACATATTATTCTGCACCAATTATATTCGTGTTCCAGGTAACTAGAACGAAGTTGTAACTGTGAACAGTGTGATCCCTCTAATTATAAATTTGGTTCACGAGAGCTTATTCATATAGAGATTCGGATGCTCTGTTAAACATGTCTTTATGCTCGACATTTTCTTTTGGTAGTTTACCCTTTCACAGACGCCTCATAAAACCAGAGCTTTTTCTCTTTTTAAAAAAAACAAAACAAGATAACCATAGAGTTAAGGAGAGGACATGTGTTGAGGACAACTTGGAGTTCTGAGATCAGAGACATTTACTAAGAAGAAAGGGATTGACAAGGGCTGAGCGGCAAACGTGTCATTTGTGAATAGATTGTGGGCAAAATATTAACAGAACCGATGTATGCACAAAATTCATAATCATTTACGTATAGGAAACTAATTATCTTACGGAGAGGGAAAAAAGAATGAAATGCAATACTATCGTCAGTGTCATTCTCGACAATCGAAAAAATGAACAACACTCCAGTTCCAATTTCAGTATGCTGCGGACTGGACACGTCTCTCGCCGCCTACCCCGTCCATGAGCTGGAGAGTCAACAGTCAAAGAGGGACGCCCGCAGTGTTTGTTTTGAACATGATCTTTGACTTTCGTAGCCAAAATCGCCATGTCAAGGCCACCTCAGTCGGCTCCTCCTCGTCCGCATCTCGACCTCATTGCGTCTCCTCTCGTCCTCCTCCTCCATTCTTCTCAAACTCATTCCCAAAGCCGCTGCCCTTCGCAGTACTAGTCCCTGCCGATGGCGAAAGGCTTGCTTTCCAGTCTCTACTAAGCATCCTCTTGAACGACCGCATGCGACTCATTGGCGACCTGAACGATGACTGACTCGACGGCGAATCGTAAGCCGACTCGTCTCCAAAGCTCTCGCTCCTCTTGGGCACCTCCAAGGTCACACCCACTAGTGACGATGGCTTACCCTCTAACCCAATCCAAGACGACGAAGAACAAACCGTGTGCCCGCTCCGGGCTTCATCCCTTCCCTCGGGCTGACACTCCGAGCACAGTCCAGAGGTCGACCCTGCTTCAGAAACTTCCTGTTCGCTCACAGTGATCACCACTTCAGGCCCGTTGGCATCCGTCGGCGTGGGTTCAACAGCAGCCCTGCAAACTGGGCAAGTGGAGTGCGTCTTGAACCACATGTCGACGCAATCAACGTGGAAACTGTGATTGCATTTGGGTAAGACTCGGCCTGATTCGCCCTCTTCGAATTCGGACAAGCAAACCGGGCATTCAACCTGCTCGGTGTGGGTCTTAGAAGAGTAGATAAAGACGGGAAGAGATGTGAGTAGAGACGAATCAAGACCGCGCGAAGAGGCCACGACAGGAGTAGCAGCGGAGTCCACAAAGAATACGATTTGAGAGCGCCGGCGGCGGCGGAGGGGATGACGGCGGCGAGCTTGTACGTGAAACCAGCGAACATATAGGTGCAGGCAAACCATTAGGATGACGATGAAGAATAAAATCACGATGGCGCCAAGCATAATCCTGCCGGTGAGAGCGTAGCTCTTGGCATCTTCTTCACTGAAATTGGGGTCCCCGCTGCCCATCATGAGAATCAGAGGTCTGCGTGATGAATCCTGAGAAGAGATATGTGAGCAAAGGTGGAGGGAGAACGGAAGAAATAGGAATGGGATGAGGTTATATGAAGAGATTGAGAGAGGAGAAAGGAAGGTTCACGGGGGTTTCCAAATCGTGAAGTGGGTATCCGAATGGCTTCAGCAAAATTGAGGAAACTATGAAAGCACTGCCCGACGCTGAGTGGGATTGATGGGTGTATTATATATCAAAATGAACAGAAGCCGCAGTTGACGCGGTTTGGTTTGAATGACGGATCTGCCCTTCACGCTTCATGCTGAAAATGATACGTGTTTATTTAATTATATTCAGGAAATTGGCGGGCAGTTTCCTTGTTAGACCCACTGTTCCAAAGTCTCAAGGTTTCAACTTTCAACTATTTCTTTTTTGTGGCCGCGCAAATTTCAATTATTAATAAACTCTTCCGACTATGCGTATGCTAGCAAAGAAGATAGCTAAACTCTGCCTTGTCGACCCCACATACATGCGGGTTATACGGAGGGCGGAGGTCAACTTCCCGTAGCCTCCGGGCCCAAATCATTTCCCGCTTTCCGCGCTTACTTTCTTGTAAAGTAATCAATGAAAACAAAAATTTTCAATAACATTCCTGCTTCCTCGTTGACCCCCCTAAGGAATCCCGTTTTAGTTTCTGCCACAAGCATCAAGTTACGAACGGATTATCGTGTCAAGTCTATTTTACCGTAGGTCTTGTGTTTCACAGGAGATGCGAGGCGAGTTCTTTTTTTTTTTTTTTTCCCCGCCAGGAAGTTGACACCCATATTCTGGAGCAACACTATCCAAACGGCAAAACTTGTGGGCTTAGGTGGGGTGGTAGCTTAAACTTGGGCCCATCATCATCTTTATCGCCAAAACTGTTGGTCAACAAAGTGGAAACGCCTTCCGCCAATTGATAAGCGATGAAAAGGTGTGACCTACCTGTATGTAGTAACTATCGAGTAGTTTTTCAAGGTAGACCAAGGTGAGCATGAAAGTTCGGTTAAACAGGCTGAGGGGAAATTGAGCGTGTGGGGTAAAAAAGGAAAAAATGAACAGCCATGGAGGATAAGGGAGAGAGGGTGGGAAGCCTTGGATTCCATGGAGTTGTGAAGCTAGGTCATCAATTTTAGAGGAGCCAGAAAGCGGGGGCGGTATCTGGACCTGTTGCACTGAGCCGACCCAAACCAGAACAATCATAGTCAAATACAACCGGTTAAATTATTAAAATAAGTTCTGCTTTAGCTCTTCGTTTTGTAAAACCCGCAAGGAAGATTCAGCTCGGTCTTGAAAACTTCAGACCAGAAACAAACCTATTTACATTCTTAAAATATATTTTTAAACTATTATGTATGTTTTTGAAACTTGCAAGTTTAGGAACTACTGTGAACTTACAGAAATCGAAAGCTTCAGGCAAAATACCTAAACACTTAAATATTGAATTGAAATAGGAAACGTTTTAAAAAAATATCTATTGAATTTCAAAATTTCAAATCAAACTTGTTTATTATTCTTTAATAACAATTGAATACATCTGAAAAGCAAATGACAACATATTTTATAATAATTTCTGGTCTGGGATTTTGATATTCAAGAGATATTTTTTAAAAAACTTTCCATTAAAATAATTAAATAAGCCCATGGCCTTATTGACTCAAATATTATTTATTTAATTAATATTGACTCAACTTTGAAATCTAAATTCACAACAAAATATTATGAAATAAAAATTTTTAAAAATTTTCTTGATCCAACATTACATTTAAAAAAGGAGAAAATCATCAATTTGAAGAATAAAAGACCAAACTGACTAAGGCGGGAGGAGGGCGCGCAATTATGCCAATGGTCAGTCCTGGCCCGTGAGCCCGAATAATTCTGATCCTTTGGACTGCAGAGCCACAGTTACCCACGGCAACACTATGAGACGTGTTTGGATAAAATCCAATTATCATTTTATAATTTACAAAATAAATATATAGAAATAGTCTCACCTCGATTACCCAAGTATCAAGACGAGTAACGGTGGAACCTACCTTTCGGGAAAACACAAAACGAGCCGCTTTCTTATTTGACCAACAGTGCTCCTTTCCCTCGCGGCTGTGAGTGTTCCAACGTAAGCTTGATCCGCTGCCCAATCCAAAGGCAGCCTTATTCCGCCTACTCTCCCTCTTTCTCTCTCTCTCAAATGCTCCATATCGCGTGAAGTTATATACTGAGAAATATTAATAAATTATCATTACCTGTTTAAATTTAAATTATTTTTTATAAATAAAATATATATTCTTAAAATTGCAAGTGTACACCCTCAAATTAATTATATAATCTTTTAAATTGCTAATTTAAATTTGTATAATAAATATGTTGAAAATTCAAAACATTTGATTCAATTCGTAGAGACGGTTTAAATTTATATATATTATTGATACTGATACTGATCCCGTGATAATTACTCCCTCCGTTCCTTATTATAAGAGACATTTGATGCTTATGACATGTTCCCATATATAAGAGACATTTAAAAGTTGTCTTTATTTTTTTGTATTGATTTCCTATTTTACCCATATTTATTTTTTCTCCAACTCATACTTTCTCTCCCTCCCACTTCTCTTTCTTTTAATAACTTAATTGTTCTCTCTCATACTCTCTCTCCTTATTAATTGGGGTATTATTGGAAAAAATATTATACTTTTTACATATTAATTGTAAAAACCTGCAGCACAAATTTGGTTATTTGTTTTTTATAATAAGAAACGGAGGGAGTATTACAAGAGGAAAACCTGCAGCACAAATTTCATCAGTCCAGCTTAGTCCATAAATAAAGGGAGATTTACGTATTGCTCGTATGTATATAAATGAAAGTAGATTTACTTTTGCATTATTGTTTTTTTTTGGCAAGCATCGGCATCTTAAACTGAAAGTGACCAAACAAACGCTGTTCTCCATTCACGGAACGCTTTTATGCGCTCAAAAGCGTCTTTGTAATGTTTGGTCGCAAGGCCAACTGGGCGAAGGTACCCCAATTCCTAACAGAGAGCAGATCGGGGGAGAAGATGACAAAAACGAGAGGTCAGGAGCAGATTATAAGGATTAAATAATTACATGCATCGTTTAACAATTGGATAACCCACGAGTGAAGTTAAGCAAAACCAGGTATCAAATCAAATTTTTAAAAAAAAAAAACAGAGAGAGAGAGAGAATTCCACTTCTTCCATCATAACAACTTGACATTGGAGAAAAATAAGGCAATTAGTTACGTTGCACCGCATCCATGACTGTTTCACTGAGATCCATATGCGTTTTCTTGTGACCATAGCGTCAGGAAAGGCCAAAAATATAATTATTGAAAAGAGATGGCGTGTGTCTGTGTGAGGGGGGAAAGATGTTTTTTTTTTTGGGTGGGGGTGGGGGCGGGGGGGGGGGGGGCGCGGGGTTGTAAATAAAAAGGGGCATTGGAAGTCTAGAGATGTGAAGCGCATTTACTAGGGTCTACCAACGCTAACGGCAACGGCTTCTCCCTGCGCCCCTCGAGGATCAAGCTTTATTAGTTTCCCATTTCCTCACTCCTCATTCCCTCTCCGCTTGACTGCTTGTCTGTTTTCATCTCTGAAATAGCAAACACTGACTTACAAATGTCTGCCAAATCCCCCATCTTCCCAATGCCAGAGCCCCAGCACTTCAGTGACTATGGTTTTGACCCACAAATTGATTATTTTCAGGTCCCTCATCTCTTTGATTCCCCTGCTTCTGTGAACCTTTCTGTTTTCTTATTCTTCCCCTCATCACGCATTCCTTGTTGGTGACAAAAGCAGGTACTGGAAGAAGCTATGAAGCACAAGCGCGAGACAGCAAGGTCCATAGACTCCATACACTTCAAGCTGCAGAAGCCTATTTCTAAGGACGACTCCGGCAAGATTCACAAGCCCAAGAGGAAGCGCTGGTGGAAAAGTGCTCTGCTCTTCTTCAAATGGAGGCGCACCCACCACAGCAACTGCCCTCGTCATCAACGAGACGTGGATGACGACGTTCACCGAGCCAGGGCTCGTGCTTTCAGGGCCTCCATGTCAGGACCCGTGTACTTGACGGAGAGCAGAAGCGGGTCGTCCACACCGTACCGGACCACTAGCCGGCCGTCTTCGGGTCCGCTGGCCAAGGGCGAGCCGGATATACCTTACCTGAGTCTCCGGCAACTCACGATGGAGCAGCATCAGTTGCAGCAACAAAGGATGTCTACCTCAGGCATGCCCCTATACTTGGTCACCTGAGCAGCCGCTTAACACTTTCTAACGATGTTGTTTAACCGTGTCTACAACCACTAATTGTAGCTAAGCCATTGCGGGGAAATGGACTGTAAGGCGGGTAGGTTTGAATTTATGATGCGGGCCGTGACTTAATTCTCCATTCGTTTTTTATTCTTAATTTCGAGTTATTTTTTCCATCCACTGGGGAATGGACGGAACCTCCCTGTGGGATTTCAGTGTTGGGTACTTGAATTTCTTTTGAGTAAAGAAATGCTAGCAATATCTGTTGCTTTCTGATCAAAGTCTAGTAATGAGTATGAAAAAGGGGAGAAAATATATTTTTGGGAATGGGAAAGCCGAAAGGGATGAATTGGAAGGAGGACGGAGAAGACAAAGAAGGAGCGTCAGGGATTGAAGAGTGGGAGACCCATCCCGACGGCGACTTTTGAAGATGACAGGGTGAAAGCGTAAAAAGGGGGGCGATGCATTTCACAGGGAGGCGTGAATGCAGAAGCAAGATTAGTGGAGGTGGACTGCTGGATTTCAGAGGCGGAGTCCCTAAACAGTAAACGCAACACGCCAAGGACCGGTCGCAAGCACAGGCCTTGTGGTTCGAAGTGCTATGTGGGCCAACTTTACTATCAATACAGTAGAAAGTACAGTAGATTGTTAATGCTTAATTACCCTTTTTTTCCTCCCACAATCCTATTTATAACCCCCCCCTCAATTAATTCTTACTACTAGATACTTTATATCGTTGTTGGCCAAAAAAAATACCTCGTACTATTCGCAGAAAAAATATTTTAAAAGTATCCCAGTAACTTTTAATTTAATTAACGGCTTCTTGTTATCGAATGATTTAAAAAAATCTGTAAGGATTTTTAATTTCAAATAACTATATTTTAACAATAGTTGATATGGCTTAAAAAAATAGAGTGAAAGTGAAAGGAGTAGCCGTATAAAACAGAGCAAGGATCGTATATTCCGCTGAGCGGTTGCAAGCCGTTGCGGATGGCATCTTGTCTTGAAGCTGCAACTCGTAACCGCGGGTATTGTTTTGAAAATTGTGTGGTGGTATTGCCTAGAACACTGGTTTGTAGCAGTTGTTTCTATTCTTTTTCTAAAAAATATTATTACAAGGATATCAATGCTATTTTTCAAATGCAAAAATACTTTTTATAATGATTAATAGCATGCTTAATAAGGATCCATAACTTGGGCCTGTGCACGAGTAGCCCGCCTTATCGCAACTCTAAAGAAAACTAAATCATTCAAATAAGTAAATACCCGGAACTCGATCCTCCTGCAGGGAAAATACATAATAGTGATGAGTGGGGCTTAAAATTTGCAATTCAAATTTATTTATTTATTGTGCTCAATTGCAAAATTTATTCATTTTTATTTATCATTCAACAACTGATCGTGTAGTGAGTAGTGACTGGTGAGGTCCGTTTTCTTTTCTTTTTATTTTAAAGAAAAATCTCTATAGATCCTAAATGTTAAATCCTAAATGGCATTCATATGATCTTAATTATATATATATATATTAAAAAAAGAATAAAATACCTTTTTTCATCAGCTTACACCTGGATACAATTATTCTTTTGGACTCATGAACGAGTGGACTAGGCCTATTAGCCAGTAGGGCCCGGATAGTCTGCTTCCGCACCTCTAGTTGCAGTTTAATTGTGTACTCGTGTTAGCATTCATGTAAACTTTGATTCTAAACATTTCTATTTATTGTCTCGTTTTTAAACTTTGATCCTGCTCTATCATTCTACAAAATATTTTTCCTTCTTTATCAGTCAGTTATGCATGATTTTCCCTACCATTTAAAGTCTTCGAAGTTGGATGGATGTGTATATTCGATTCATGGATCCATCAACAGTTTTTAATTAAAGAAGGAATGAAAATAAAACGCGAACCAATTCATGACAGAGGCACATTCGTACTATAGTCTATATACGATATATCTTTTCCAATAACTGGAAAAAGAGTTCAACGAATGGGTAGGAAAAAAAGGAAAAAATAAATAAAGAATGACAAAGCTATGGAGAGAGGGGGCATAGAAGTGGAACTCCGCTAGACAAAGCCCGGCAATGAATAGGATCCAGTTCTTTTTAAAAAAAAAAAATCATGCGAATGGAATCCAATTAACTAATATTCATATCAAAGTAAGATACTCCTCCGGTCCTTATTATAAGACTCCATTTGACTTTTTATTTGGTTCTAATTATAAGACCCCAATCCATTTTGTCTCTTATATTTATGCATTTTTTTCCAAGATAATCCTTCTAATAATGATAGTTTTAGCCAATATACTTAATTAGCAAATATATTTTAGGAATGACAACACTTATTTATTATAAATAACCAATTTAACTTAATTCTTTAATCTCCTCAAATAAATAAATTGGGTCTTATAATTAGGATTGGAGGAGTATAATCCGAGTCCGGAAGTGGGTCCCCTAAGCTTCCATCGTGCAAAGTGATGCGCTTCCTCCCTCGTACACGCCCCTTGACCTTTTGATCTTGCTTTTCTAACACGTTAGCCGCTCTGGCCCTTTTTTTTAAAAAAAAAAAAATGTCTAACAACCCTGAATTTTCACGTCACCCGTCATCCGCATGGATATGTCGGCGTGCTATCCTCCCGCTCTTCATTCGCTCTCTTTGTTCACCCTTGCCAACTCCTCCTTTTTCTCTGATCTCGAAGGCCAAAACGCGACATATTATTTACCTATATTAATCACTTCACATTTTCCCAAAATATAAAATTTACCGTTGATATTTTTATATGGTGTTGGTATGAAAGTGGGGAGAAGGACGGGGGAAGGAGAGTGAAGAAAGAATACTGTTTTTGCGTTGGCAGATGGCTTTCGCTTTTACAAGGAACAACAAAACAGAGTGAGAGAAACAAAGGGCAGTCACTTCATCAACATTGGTGATCTGGTATATAAGGCCCACAAGGAACGCAACACCCAACAAAGCAGAGCTGGCAAGCGATACCCGAGCGAGCGCGGATCATGGAGGGGATAGAGCATAAAACAGTGAGCGTAAATGGAATCAACATGCACATAGCGGAGAAGGGTCAGGGCCCGTTGATCTTATTCATCCATGGCTTCCCTGATCTCTGGTTCTCGTGGCGCCACCAGATCGCCGCCCTTTCCTCCTCTGGCTACCGATGCGTGGCTCCTGACCTCCGTGGCTTCGGCGACACCGACGCTCCCGCCACGCCCACTGCCTACACCAGCCTCCACATCGTCGGCGACGTTATTGGCCTTCTGGACGCCATTGCGCCGAGTGAAGAGAAGGTGTTTGTGGTGGGACACGACTGGGGAGCCATCACTGCGTGGTATCTCTGCCTCTATCGCCCAGAAAAAGTCAGGGCTTTGGTTAACTTGAGCGTCCCTTTTACCCCCAGAAACCCCAAGAGAAAGCCACTTGACACCTTAAGAGCTGTGTATGGAACTGACTACTATATTTGCCGATTTCAGGTCTACTGCCAACTTCCGACTTCCGACTTGCTATTGTTTAGGCACGTTTAGCTTAGCTCGTCTTACACTGCTAGCATATCTGTTATTTAATTTTGTTTTAAATTAGTGGGTCAAGCACTTCATGGCATTAATTTATTACATCCTAATTAATCCCTGCCTACTTGTCTGGCTCCCAGAGAATCTTAATTTGTTGTCATCGAACTTTTGATCCAAGGGGGACATGTTCTGTCTCCATAACTGCGTTTAATATGATAGTATTAATTTGATCCTCCTCCATCGAAATTGGAAGCTTAGGCTAGAGAGAGAATTTAGCTTTAGTCGTTTTATTTTTAATTCGAACCTTTCCTTTCTTCATTTCTCCAATACCCAGGTATTTCATTGATTTTGCCCACAAGACATTCTGCTTAATTAATCACTGAGGATGTTCGCTGGTGTAGGTTTCGGGTAATAATGTAGTTGTTGATTAATCATTACAGGAACCTGGAGACATAGAATCCGAGTTTGGTCAAATTGGGACCGAGAGAGTTCTGAAGGAATTCCTGACATACCGCAATCCTGGCCCACTTTATCTGCCGAAGGGAAAAGGGTTTGGACATCCAGCCGATGCTCCCATTGTGTTGCCCTCATGGCTATCTGAGGAAGAATGTAACTACTATGCCACCAAATATGACAAAACTGGCTTCACTGGGGGATTGAACTACTACAGAAATTTGGATCTGTATGTATTGTCATATACAACTCATGTATCTTTTAAAAGAAAGAAAGGTCGTTTTTGATCCATTCAAAATTAGGAATTGATGGCTTGCTGTGTTGCATGTTTGCAGGAATTGGGAACTGACGGCGCCGTGGACAGGTGCTCAGATAAAGGTGCCGGTGAAATTTATGGTGGGCGACCAAGACTTGACCTATAATGCGCCGGGGATGAAGGATTACATTCACAAGGGAGGGATGAAGAGAGACTTGCCACTTCTGGAGGACGTGGTCGTGATGGAAGGGGCGGCTCACTTTCTCCATCAAGAAAGGCCCCTTGACATCAACAAGCATATCCTTGACTTCTTTCTTAAGTTTTAATATTGTTTCTGTCTACATCTTTGTCCTTCACATCTGGTTGTGTTTTCATCTTTGGTCCTTCAGTTTCTTGCTGAGTGTGAGTGGTTTGTACTGATCATCTCTGAACATCTCTTAAGCCTACTCATTTTTATTATCATTAAGTTATTCACGAGTGACTATTGTTTGTCAATTATGGGAACCTTATTTCTCAATACCGCCCCGTCAATAGAATGCATGTTCCTGCTCCGGTATATTTATCTGTTTTATTTGGGTTTGAAAAGCAGCTTTCTTTTTCCCGAGAGAGACTACGGGAAACGAAAAAGCACCTCCACAGCTGCAAAGCAAGCTTGGAATATGCTGCTGTCATGTGGAATAAGAAGCCCTGGGGTTATGCTTTAAGTTTCCTGAAGTTTCTAATGACACCTTTTTTTGTTTTTTTTGGGGAAAAAGCTGCAACATTTATATATGAAAATTGAAAACGATACCATTCTTTTGTTGGGAAACAAGCATAATGATACTTCAGGGATCGATGTCGGTTATACTGCGTAGGTGTCAAGTATGAGAATGATATCGATTTAGCCTGAATTTGGTGATTTAGACCCAAATACTAAACGAAGGCCGACGGTCTGGCAGAGGGTGCGTGACACGTGTTTATTAAAATGAAGTGTGTCATGAAATTTGCTCACTTCAAATATCTTATTCATTATCAAAATAAGAGGAGCTTGCCTTTCTGAATCTCCAGCCAAATGCCATTGTTGGAAATGCAGGCTCATTCACTCGTGTATGTAACATAGCTCCCCGACCAGCAATTTTTTTCCAATAGGTGCTCAGATATATCTGTAACTCATCACCGTCATAAATATATAAACATGAGATTAAGATCACCAAAAAAGTTCAAAACACCTCCCGCTTATTTATTGACAAACCAGCTCTACCTAAATGGCTCACATTCCCTCTCAATCCTTCAAAGTCTTAAAAAGAGCTAAACTAGTTTCAGCTTCGCCTTTGGGGTGCATCAATTACCTTGTTCGTATTGATTTTCATGCTTTCCAGTACACACCAGCGAACTCTAACTAATAGCTGCTTTTAAAAGCATCGCCTTAGCGAAAGTATAATTCTCCTCTGCTTCCGTCGTCTTGCTCAGAAGTCCACCATCCACGCTGAGGGGAACGGGCCACTCACCGCTTTCCTTCTCGCTCGGATCACAGTGTCTAGAAAGACTGGCTTTCTGGCTCAGAAGAAGCAACCATGCAGCAGCCCATATATTTGATATTTTGCTAACCCTCATTGTATATGCTTTCTCACTAGCTCTGCCCCAGCTAAAGTTAGATGAACACTTCTGAGTGATACTATGTGGGTATTTGGATGGAAGCTAAATTATAATTTCAAAAGTAATATTTACAGTATACAAAATAAATATGTAAAGGAGTTTACTTCGATTTGTGAAAAAGTATTTTTTAAAAACACTTTTCTCAAATGCCAAACACCCCCGGTGGATAAATAAGCATCTTGCTGGGAAGAAATCACGTGGTTAACATTTTTACTTTAAATCATGGGCTACTTAAGCTTATTCTGAGCCAGAGAGGCAATCTTTCTGCAATGGCTGTGCTTCTCTGCTTTTCTCTTCGAATTTAGCTTTTCTAAGTTTTGATTATTTATTTTCGTTCATACATTACCAAACATAATGAACGAGTAAAACGCATTGACTGGGACGCGTACAATCTCCTCACTCTAGCTCAAACCACCTTCTGAAATTGACCAAATTACAACTGTAAAGATGTATAACTCTGCTCCAATTCTCCAATTCACGTGATAATAATAACATCACAATGATTCGTATTTTCTTGTTACACCACGGCATCAGAGGGCGCACCAACCCCAAACTAGCTAAGGCATTCTCACTAACCCCTCCTCCTAATAAAATTTTGATCATTCGCCACGTGGATATTCCTGGGGAACAATGAAATTGCAATCAAAATTACGCTTTGATTTCCTCATTGGGCTACGATACAAGTTGATGGCCCAATAGGCCCAACTCCATATCAATTGTTGCATTAAGTCTGGGAGGGTCCGTGCGCCCTCTCAAGAGAGGATCTCATTAAGACGCAATTTCTCAAAATAGTTGCACTTGCAGACCCGTTGCTGTTTTTCCTCTGCTATTGAAATTTCGCCATTGAATTGCAGCAGTTAATTAGACGTCACCTTCGTGTGAGCTAGAACAAATGAAGTTGGGTTTTGTTGGGAGTGATACATAGATATATGATTCATGGAAGCAGTTGGAAACTTGAGGTTGATGTAAAGTCTCTCACATTGCTGTTGCACCCGGCGTCCCCATTCCTTCACGTGATTAGCTGCCCACTTTCTATCAATTAAATCGTGCTAATCAATCTCCTTTCACATTCTATATGAACTCCGCTCTTTTGATATTTTCGGTCACCTGCCCAATTGCTGTACTCGAATAATGTCGTATTTTGGGTCATCGCAACAACTCAAGCCAGCCAAAACATCATTGCTCGCTCTCTTCCCAACAGTGGAGATGATATGATGGGGAGCTATACATGACGGAGGGGTATAATTTGCAAATCTCCCCAGTTCCAAAATGTGGAGCTTTCTTTTTCTTGATTAGATAATACGTGCAACCGTTCAGACTCTGGGTCCCGATTTGCTTGCTCTGAAAGGTCATAACAAATATTCATTCCAGACTATACAGGTGCCTTCTGCATGAGCCGTAGAAACAAATGTTAAGGGTCAATCAGTCAATACCGCCGTGTATAATCCTCGCTTGAGCTAGAGCTGTTGTCTCCATGGGAATTGGTACTGAAAAGACCATTCAAGGAGTTGACTTGAAGAAACCAACTTTTCTCTTTTCCTTGTTTCTGCCGGAATAGGAATTCGGAAAAAAAAAATAAAAAAGAAAAAAGAACAGAGAGAGGCCAATTTTCTGTCTCAGTACTCTTTTCTTACCAGCTGGTCTCCATTAAAAGTTCGTCAAAAAGGATTCTTAAACACAGCCATTTCAAATGCTATGGAGGCGCCGCGCACGCACACATACTAATTAAGAATTTTTCCGAACCCATTGATTTATGCTACGGCGGTATTGCCTTTAATTAACCGCAGAAAGTGATGGGCGATTGATCTAAGAGGAGCTAGAGGCGGGTGAAAAGTTACATGCAATTCATTAAATCTATTGTTCATAACAGAAGCCTGCCCCTCCATTCTAACAACATATTTAGTGTTGTAGATTATAAATTATTATCCAAGACTCTGAACGGACAATTCATACGGCACCTTAGATTTGTAGGTCCGTAGGTAAGCAGGTGTATATGTATATAGTGGAGGTCAGATAAATGCTGCGTGGAACCCCAATAAACCTTTTGACTCAGAACTCGTCCTATGGTTTTATGGCATCCGCATAACATAGACGCGACAAAAAAATGTGGGATCATCCATTGAATTGAAGGATACAATTCCCTCCACTTGCGATTTTCTGCCTTGAGACTCAGCTTGGTTTAATATATAGCATTTTGACTGAGCCGAATATAAAGAAGGCATTGATAATATCCAGCTCACTGACCTTCTACTAGCTATATGATCCGCGAAGCTCTTCGTGCTCCGGATACATATATATATACACAATGCATGTTTATAACTTACGGATATTTTTGTTATAAAAAAATAAGTGTGCCAAAGAAAGCAAAACATTCACAAGGTTGTAATTAATGATACAGAGGTGATCATAATGTATGAGTATATATTAGAAACCAAAGCCAACAAGAAGACATTATAGAAAAGCAAGTAGTGGAGCATAAACATGGACCGTAAGCATCTACTTGAATTGATATGTGTCAACCATGGTAGTACCAAGTAGTAGGGGCTGATCTTAAAGTATTTGAGGATGGAGGATAGGCCCCCACGTATAATGTTGTCAGTGGTGACACGTAAGAAAGATTGGCAAACAGAGGGATGAAGAAAAGCAAGATCGTCGAGAATGGGGTGTCGGTTGTTGGAATTTTGGCATGCAAAGGCCTCGGAATTTGGGACCAAAGGGGAAAACCATAAGGGATGTGACATCTGGATACGTTATCATTCCTCCTCAACAACCGCAGAATCATACATGTTCCAATCACATTTACGTTGGGTGCTATACATCAAATCCCATGTTCGGTATCTAATTCAATTCTACACATCAAACCAATACTAACAAAGCCATCCCTCCTCCTGAGATCCAATCTATCGATAAGGTTATTGCCCTTATTACCCCATTATTATCTTTCATCTCATCATCATTCCCTTGCCCATCTGGCACATGCTCGGTTCTATGCATCCCGCTCACAAATTAAGATATATATATATATATATATCTGTTGTGTGTCTGTGTGTAACCCCACTTCAGACTCAAGGGATTCATGCGCTACAGCACTGACTGTGTGCTGAATCATTTCCGCATGAACTTTTTATGTTCTACGTTTGACTCTCAAGGAAATCTTTCGATTACGTCTTGTCAACACTAATACTACTTGGAAATAAACCAGGGAAAAAAGAATATTGTGCATTTTTGGAGACTTTGAGAGACCCATAGTCCCATAGCACTTGTGAGTCAGAACCAAAATACACCGAGCATGACGCAGTGACGCCATGATGGCAACTGTAGCCTAGCTAGCTCGCATGCTCAATGAATAGGTCCTTTTCTGAACGTGAATATGAAAAACAAATATATGCATTCCTTTATGGGAAGAGAAGGTGCCCGGCCGTGCCTCTGGCTACATTGAGGAAAGTGACAAAATACATATGTAGGATCCGAACGGAAGAGTTTTTCCGTGACACCAATTCACTCGGTTTAAATAAGGTCTTCGTGCTTTTTCCGCTCTTTTGCATACTCCCAAGTTCTCTGCCTCTTGATACACATGCCATTTGTTGAGGTGACATACTTACATTCCTACCCATCGCGGCTCATACAGTTGCCAAGCATAACTTTCACACGAGCATGTATAATGCCGGCGCAATATTTTTTCGGCAGAAATCATCTCTCCTTCGTGAAGTCCAGAACGATACGCGAGCGCACACATTTACGATCGCTGAGTTAATAAATTAAGTGTATATAATAACATGCACTAAGTATTCACATCGTAAATCAGGATGCTTCTTCCTCCTGTTCTACACGTTGTACACACGCGTTACCTACGAGGAGCCTAAGTGGTATGCATCAGTAACCGTTAATATCCAGTGCTCCGACCCCGTCAGAATCAAACGACTCATTATTGTCAGCCCAAATAGCTTGTGTGGTCTCCATTCTGATTGTGGTGCTCAACACCGATTGGGAAAGGGAAGCCTGGAGGGCCCAACCCCTGATGGGATTGAAGGCTGCGGGTCCCATATTTTTGGCACATGCGGACCAAACGTTCAAATGTGAACAAGGCGTCGTCTTTCACCGCGAAAACAACGACTCCCAGAACTGAAGCTATATTTTATCAGTTTGTGCGGAAGGAAAACATCCAGACACAAGCTCAGATTAATTAATTGATTACTTATGGATATATATATATATATATATAATCTATCATTTTTTGCCATGGTATTGTTATTACATGTATTTTTTGACTTGCCGCCTCCATATACACGTGGCAAGGTCTTCTAAATCTCAATAAATACTATAACCCTGGATGGTTATCATTTGATGCACGTAATTGTGTGAGCATATGCAGGATTTATATAAATTATTTGACTCGTATTTATATGCTTGAAGAAGTCCTATCTTGAATTGTTATGGTTACTATGGGGGAGAACAAAATGAGTAAATTATTGTTGAATTGAGTCATAGGAAATTGGCGAGATGGTGGTACTACTTTGCTTTCGGATGAGGAAGGAAGTACAGTTGCATGTCCGCTTCTCATAAGCCGCATGCGAATGGACCACACCTTCAGTTTCGGGCACAATCCCTGCAATGAATGAATATCTTTCCCACTGAAAAGGGGGCGCCCGTTGCCAGGCAAAGTAGTGGGCTCACCAGGATTTGGGCCTCACAGTATCAATGCATTTACTTGATCAGTTCTAAAATCCGAATCATAACTAATGAGAGTTCGGTTTATGGGCTAGTTTAGGGTTTCTTCGGATCAATCAAAGTTCCAGTTTTTATTGAGAGAGGTATGTATATTTGTACCTGACATTATCTCAAACAGAATTGTCTATACAGAGCCCAAAAAAAAAGAAAAGTAAAGAAAATCCTAATCATAAATTGCACAACGCAGTTTTCCTCTCATAGAGTCCACCGTTACGAGCTTCTCCCTTCAGTAATAATCGAAATAATTATATTTGGTGTTTAGAAATATATATGTTATCTTTAACTCCGCATGTTCCAAAAAGAAATTTACGCCCCTTTATTTTATTTCACACCTCAAGTAAAAAGATATAGATAATTAAAATTAGTAAACAGTAAGAATGAACATTGTTCATTTTATATTACTCTTTCGGTTCTTAATATAAAATTTACTTTGTAGTGCAATTTACACTAGAAAATAAATCTTATATTAAAGAGTGGAGGAATAAAAAAAAAAGAAGAAGAAGTGTTTTTCATATTAAAATATAAAATGTAACAAACTAAATAAAAGAAGTGCTTGTTTCAAAGAAATAATAATTCACTTCGAAATAAAGATATATAAATAATAAATTAACACTGAGGGGTAATTTCATTTTTATCTAGATTTTTTTGGTTCAAAATTTTTACTTAGATTAAATTCTGCAAGGTTCGTCAGATAAGCCCCCAGTCAATTATTTGATTATTAGAGGAATGGAGCATAATATAGTATTAATTATCTGTGCAGATACTTTTCCTCAAATTTTTAAAGTCGTGCATGTATATACACAATTGAAGAAATGGAGTGCACGCTACAGGAGAGGCAGAAGTGACACTTGTCGACGGAGGAGGCGGCTTTGGGCGTAGAATCTTTTGTACTCTGCTGACTGCTCCTGCGCACTCATCCCCCCCCCCCCCATTTAATTTCCTTTATTTTTAAATTGTCAATATTAAAAGAAACTACCTTAACAAATAACAATAATTAGAAGTCAATAATTAATAATAAGGCAGAATTCCACCCAAAAAGTTCAAAATTGCTAAATTTTAAATAAAAATCTTGTTAGAAGAATATATTATTATTTTTAGGTCAAGTGTTGAAATGAAACTTGATTTACAATTTAATAATTTCAAATTTCTTCCTGTAACATTTCTCCCTAACAATACGGTTCATGTTATGAGCTGCATGTTGATGTACGGAACTCGCCAATTTGATCTAAAGCAGGACCCAAAGCTCACTTCCATCCATTTTTTTGGTTGGTTATTTATATTGTAATTAATGCCTTTTTATTTTTCTCGTGTTGGCCAAACAAATTCTACTTACGGTAAACATAACAAGCATGGAATTTAAAATAATAATATTTATAACATATATAAATACTAACATGTCTTGCCAGAGTCTTCTAATCCATTGATATTTTGTACCTCCCTCAAAAAACCTTCAAGGGGGTGTTTGGATAGAAACCAAACCATGGTTTTAGAAGTGCTTTTACGGATTATGAAGTAAATATGTGGAGGAGGTTACTTCGTTTTACGAAAAAGTGATTCTGAAACTTAGGTTTTGGTTTTGCCAAGTAAGATTGTGAATTCTGCCTTCTTATAATCACGATGGTTCTAAATTATGTCCACCAAAAACAGAACGAAAAGCTTGCTTCCAACCGTTTGATTTCTTTGTAAATTTTATTACAATTAATACTTATTGCAATTGTAATTGTACGCGCAGCCAATGAAAAAATTGATGATATAACCCGTATTTCTACGGAAAAATAATTTAGCATATTTTATCATAAAATCGGACTACTTTTTCTTGTGTGCTGCGGGCACTCATCGTAGGCGTTAGTTAATTAGGCGTTTCATTTTAATGTGTATACTGGAGACTTTAAATAATCAAGGCTGGATAAAATCCGCATATGCGCAAAATTACAGAAATCAAAGAGGACATATTTTTAATATAAGACTCAATTAATTAACTTAAAAATACTAATTAAATTAGTTAATATGATTTTTTTTAAAAATGTTCTAAGTATCTATCTTCCTTGTTTTCTCCTCCTTCTCCTCCTTGTTTGTTGTAAAGAAATATTAATAGAGTTAATTTAAAAAAAAATAGTAAACGCATAAAATAGATTTTATATATAAGAATAATATGAACTTTTTAATTAAGTCATATATTAAATATGGAGGCGTAATGTTAGTGCGTGTTAATTAGCATTACAACTATTCGTGTTGATGATGATAAATTTATCGATGGCTATGTGGAAAACACGATTTAAATGTGTCTTCTTCTCGCCCTTCTACCACCGACTATAAATATCTTTTGGTTTCCTGGAAGGGGCGATGCATGTATTTGCTGCTTTCCCGTTTTTGAAACGAAGATAATGACTTGGAGAGTGTGAAAGATAAGGGAGAAATATGCGAGAAAAAGCAAGGTGGGGAAGAGTGGCTACAAGAGGTGGCCAAATGCCCTCACTATCATTTTCCCATTTTTGTTGGTCTTGAAAGAAATCCACTAAAAAAAGCCTTTTCAAATGGATGCTCCACTTAGGAGGTGTTTGTAAATTAGTAGAAGTGCTTTTTAAAAACATTTTTTGTAAATCGAGATAAATTCTTTCTATATATTTGTTTCGTATATCGTAAAATCACTTCTAAAATTATAGTTTAGTTTCCATCTAAACACTCTCTTATCAACTCCCCTTTATGCCAACTTCTTTTTGAGAGTTTGGCCTATCTCCCCTCACCATTCCAAATCATAGTTTCGGCTGATCATCATTTCGTTTCATGATTTCATTTTTGTCTTTTTCGTTGTTTCTGCCCATTTTGTTTTTGTTGATTTTACATCTCATGCGTCGCAAAATGCTCAATCGCTGATCGGCTATGTGCTTCGCGTCCCTGAGACAATAAAATATACACGAAATAAATGCTGGTCCCTCCCGAGTTTTAATCCCAATTCATTAGGTTTGTACTGCAAAATTTCACTGGGAAGGAAAGAAGAGGAAGAAATAATGATGATTTTTGAAGAAGCCAGTTATAATAAGATAGTTAAAGGGGAAGCGAAGAGATATACATGCGCAGTTATTATCCCCCACGTCCCAATCCCATATATATATCTCAGTAGTCTGTACTAAATGGATTAGCTCTGCCTCTTCCCTCCGCAAGGGACCAGCTTTGGCCGCAACATGAGTACTGCTATTCGTACACGTGGGATATACTATACGTATAAAGGTAAACAATTACTAGTAGCTAGCATCCAGTTATGTGATCTGCGAATAAACAAGAGTTTTTAAAACTGGGACCTGTGGGTGGGGGAGGAGGATCAGGATTGAGATTCAGAAGGGCATGCACTTATTTAGCCTAGAAGTTTAAATGCCGGGGGACGCATTCTTGTTGCTGCCTGCCCAGCCTTGAAAAGGAGGAGGATGCATCCAACGGGGGCGGAGCTGCTCCTTCGTACCATAATACTTTTTCCCTTAGCTACCAGACAAATCCTCATATCCTCGATGCGAACTCAACCCCCACTACGTGGCGCCCAACCAGTGTCTCTCAGTCAAATCTTTCTTTCTTACTGCTCCCTAGCTGTAACTATTGCGGGACCCATCTCCCCCTTCTCCTTCCGTACCATCTCCTCCCTTCTCCCTGCTATTTATGCGATTTTCCCTCTCAAAGTTATCTGTCCACCACTCCCTCGCTACCGGGCAGAAACCATGGTGGGTTTGAGTGTTGTGTTGGAGTCCCAGAGAGGTGTTATCCCCAGCAGTACTCCTCAAGTCATCAACAAAACCACCATCTCCATCCTCAACAAACCCTCCTCCTCGGCTTCCCACCGCCGCCCTGATTCTCAGGTTCCCACTTTCCTAGACCAGTGCTGTCTCTGCGGCAAGAGGCTCTCCCCCGGGAACGACATCTACATGTACAAGTAAGTATAGTTCTCTCTTCACCCACAGATCTCATATTCCTCCGCCAAACCCAGATCTTTTATGGCTGATTATGGATGTTCAAGAGCCTATTTTTGTGGGAGTGTTATTTAGTGATGTGGATATTTGGGACGTGTTGTTGCAGGGGAGACAGAGCTTTCTGCAGCGTGGAGTGCAGGTGCCAACAGATATTCATGGACGAGGAAGAAAGCATTCAAATAGAGAACTGTTCTTTGGCTGCCATGAGACCCCCTTCTGGTTCTTCATCCACTTCACCGGCCCCACCTCATCACCGGAAATCACCCCGAAACCGAGCTAAGGGTGGCTTTGCATACTGAGGCTGAGGCAAACCATTTTGTTTTTTTTATCTTTTTTCGGTTTGTGGCAATGACCTTCCCGTTTTGCCCATGCTTTATCTTGTAATGACCACTCCTTTTGCTTCCTAGTATGAAGCCAACATGCCCTTTCTACTTATTATTATTATTATTATTATCATGATGAATTTTCCTTTGGCCCAAAGCTATGAAAAAGTTGAAACTTGAAGCGCACTCTATTATTGTAGCCTGAAAGTGAAACCATGGAGTTCCTGCAAATATTTTGTGGGACAGCCAAAAAAGGGAAGGGCATTTATGGGATCCAAAATATATAAGAGGGATGATTAATTTAGTCTTAGGGGGAGGGTCGTGTAGATGCACGAAGCAATATAATCTATAACAAATGATGGTTAGGAGAGGGCAATGTGGTTAGCAGTAAAAGTTATGGGGGAACCCTACGCCTCGGCCTCGAGGGTTGTGGTGGGATGGGAAGGGGAGGAATAGCGGTGTTTGTTTCTAACCAAAACGACAACGCAGAATAGTGCTTCAAGTTTTCTTTCTCTGATGCGATGCCTGCTGAATTATATTTGTCGGCTTCATTCTATTGGCTCATTCCATATTTTCACGAGTTTCCCTTCTTTCCACGGCCTCTTGTTTTCGGCCGATCTGTGCTTTTGCCTCTTAACTGGAGCATCTTCATACACTAACAATGTGTTTCTCCCCTTGAACTCCAAAGGCTTTGAATTTTTACCTCTGATACGGGACAAGAACTAAAAGAGAATAAAATTTCACCCCTCATGTTCGGGCATTTGAAATAAAAGCAATATCTGTGTATGTATACACACATATTGCCACCCGGGTTAAAAGCACAGTAGTTTTGGTCGCTAAGGGCTGAAGTCACCCTCGTTACTAGTAAAATAGTCTTTTCGTGGGAATAGCTAGTTTAATCATATCCCTTACTTGCCGATAAATGTTAGAATGGCTGTACGTGTAGGAGAAATATTGGCAAGTCACCATTGATATAACGGAACATGGAACTATCTAGTTAACTGATGCTCTTTTGATCCTTAATATAAGACTTATTTAATTAATTTGATTAGATTAATGAAATTAGGTAAGTTAGTTAATTATAATAAATTTGACACGTTTTTTCTAAAATACCATAATCATTTTTTTTAATATCCTTCTCTCCTTCTATTTGATTATAATTAAGGGAGTGTCTATAGAAGTAATTTAAAGAAAATTAAAACAAAAATTAATTCAATAATTAGGTTATATTAATGACCGGAGAAGTATAACGGAACATTCTCGAACCGCACATGGATTGCAGTCTAGCTTGTGCACTGGGTTTTAAGTGAAAATGCTACAGAAACTGCGCTTCACTGTAGTGATGGAATTATTCTGAAAGACCGCCGAGAACAGATTTTGCATATAAAATGGGTATTGGATTTAGCAACGAACTATTGTTGTCTTGAGGCGTTAGAAATTCAAATCAATGCATGCCAGCATAAGTTATTTTTGTTAGAAACTCAAAATTAATTACTAGACTATGACTGTTGATATTAAGTAATTATATTAATCACTTTTAAGAAATTTCCTGGGTCCAATTAAATACGCCATAGTAAGTTGAGATGTTCAATTTATGTGAATTCCAAATAAACCCCAATTCGCAGACGAATAATGAAGTTAGTAATCCTATTTAAGCTGATCAAGGGGATTTAAGTAAGTACTCATCCGGTCCTTAATGCAAAACATATTTAACTAATTTAATTAGATTAAATAAGTTAAGTAAGTTAGTTATAAGAATTTAATATCCTTTACCTCATTTCTACTTGATTATAGTTGAAGGGACATTAATAAGAATAATTTAAAAAACTTGATAAATACGAGAAATAAATATTATATTTAAGATTAAAATCAACTCAACAATAAAATCTTATATTAAAAATAGAAGGAGCAGTGGATGTTAAACATCTTTCGCCTTAACCACGTCATTTCCATCGGCACTATGGTTGGCCAATAAGGATTGCTTTTCTCTTCTCACTCAATGGTGGATTGTTCACCAATTACAGGCATGTGCCTCTCCCAACTATACTGGTTCATTTCAGCACACTGGGTGATACGTTTTTCTCTCTTTCACCACAGTAGGTGCTGTCATTTTGAGGGAGACGTTGAGGCAGAAAATTAATGTGAGATGTGAGGAGGACCACATGTGTTGTAATTTTTGAATAGAGGAGTACAGGGCGGTTCTGTAAACGCACTATTCCATGATAGACGATGAAATTACTAAATCAAGGCTCTATATAAATGACCAGCACACAAACTTAATTAGCACTCATCAATGCGTTAGGTATGCTAATTAATCCGTTGCCTTCTATGAATAAGGCTGTGTGTTGTGTACTAAGGAGGTGTGTCTGAGAATCAGACACCTACCCATTTGTGGCCGATGCCAATACCATATCACAGAGTAATATACATGCGATGGGAATCCCAAGAATACATGCCAGCATCAAATTCTACGGCTGGCTTAAATAAATAAATCCTAAATCTTCAAGCGTATAAACTCTAACTTTGAAATTGGGGTGGAGATTGGTTTCCCCAGGAATAGAATGATTCCTGCAGAGACAGAAGTACAGGGTTTTCAGTCGGCACTCACAAGTGAAGACGTTGTTCATAAATCATCTGCATGTAATGTGATGACGAGGAAGGTGCGCATGTGAATTCATAGATAAATAAATGGAGAAGGAAGACAGCGCCAGAATGAGAAAGAAACAATGGAATATGATCTGTTACCGATGCGCAAAATATGAGATATTCGAAGTTGGAGCTGGCAACCACATCAAGAGCACCGACCATACACACATTCACTAATGCAGCATATAGTTACCCGAATATTCTAGGTTTTTTGTCATCAACCATCGAAAAAAACTAAAAGAAAAATATCAAACATGTAAATACCTGCCTTGATTTCTGTCGTCACCGTTGATCTTTCAATTTATTGTTTCCTCTTTGTTTTTAACCTATGCAATGCACACTTTGATTTTTTTTCTTTCCCCCGACTTGTTGTTCGTTCAATGCTGCATTGTAATTTGAGGAGAGGACGAGTGCGTGTGCTTCTGAAATATTCGCAAATAAAATATGCGGAAGAAAGAGCGGGCGAGTTTGAAATCGGGAATGCAAGTATAAGAATCGATGATCGAATCAAATAAATAGTGCCTTTTTATTAAAACAGAGGGAGCACTCACTCCACTTTCGTGATCCATGTCTTGTGTTTTAAAGCAGACTGACCAGGTGAAAGGTGATGGTCACCATGAAGCAGAGCATCTGAATCAGCTACACAAGAAAGGTTCCCTCAAATTCAATTTGGGCACTGCCCATTCTCCTCCTTTTGGAACCACATTTAGTACCCATTCTGTACAGGTTTGAAGGATCTATATAACTTAGTACATACACGGGTTAACTATAGCAGCATAATCGCAAGGCCTTCACCATTATTATCGACTTCTTTGTCACCGAAGCAATTTAAACAATAAGACTCTGATCCAACTAGAAATAGACAACGCCTCAACTTGTAATTTGTAATCCACATCATCTACCGACATAAAGAAAGGCACCACTGTTTTAAGTCTTAATGCATAATATTACACCTTAAATTCTTTTCCTCTCAACCTGGACCCTGCTGCACCTGAAGGGAATCTGCCCCCAGGAGTCATCTTGCTTGTTGGTTTGCACTGACAACGTGATAACGCGAGCCCAAGAAATAAACAGATTGAATTGAGCTGGGCTATATACATTTGCCAATAATATATTACTCCTCTTATATTTAATGAAGAACATAATTAAAAAGTTGATGTTGACCTTTTATGTAAAACTTATTTCACATATTTATTAATTTTTTTTTAAAAAATAATTCTATTGATATTCTCTCAATACTAATTAAGTTGGAGGAGAAGAGAAAAAAAAGTAAAGAAGATGCTTACGGTGTTTTAGAGAAAAACATATCATATTAATTAATTTAACTGATGTGTTTAATTCACTCAAATTAATTAATTAAGTGTTACATTAAAAAAAATACTGTCTAAAACTAAAAGTCATCGTTTGGAGCAGGACGGTAAACACCTCAGGTTTCGTTTCCGGTCAAAAAACCTTTGGGCAACTCGGGCTTAATTTTGTGCAGGAACCGTCATTACAGTTCTCTTGTTTCTGCCTCCAGTGTAAGGCTCTGAGTCCTACTTCCAACTTAATTGCTTCTACTTTCCGTACGATACAATCATCTGTTGACCCCGTAGCGTGAGACGGGGTGAAAACAATGTCTACGAAATCAATGAAATTCATGTCTTTATCAATAAACAAGTGCATGAGTTGCAGGCCGACCTTCCGGCGAATAATAAAGCACCCATCTACGGAGGAGTTTGAAAGCCTACCTTATAATATGCACGTGGCTGCAGTGCTCTTTGTGGACTGATTATGGATCCGTGAAGGGCGGAGAATACCTCGTGGCCACCCTGAATGGCTTCGGTGTTGTGGCGGAAACGCCTACGTTTTCGTATTTCTTGTGTATGCTCCGACCGAGAAGAGAGTAAGGCATCTAGATCTTGCAGTTATGTTTATATATCTCTGATTATCATTCTTTGAATATGAGCTACTAATGAAGATCTGATCTAAATGGCTATATAATTACAAAACGGCGTTGTTACTTAGGCAAAAAGTGGGAAATTGGAGTTTTTAAACGGGGGCATGTTAGGATTGGCCATCATAACTAGTCAACTATGGCCGAAGGGAGAGGCCCGCATTAGTACAGTAGGAAAAGTGGGTGCTGCTTTGAGCATTCTCATGTACGGTTCTCTCCTCTGGCTGCCACGGTAAGCACCCCACTTTCTTCCATCTTTACTCTTTAGCAGCTTTGCCTTCCTGCTTTAATTTCTTCCCGACATTTCTTCAACTTCAACGTTAGCTTTATTTGCCGTCACGCAATAAGCTAGGTCAGCGCTTATAGTGTTAATTAGCAATTTTTTCCCATAATACTGCAAATTGATCATGACACTCGATGGAAGCGCCAATACTTTTCTCCATACGCAGTGCCATTATCCATTGGGAGTTATTTGACTTAAAATTTATGATAAATACATCATGTTAACATTAGAAATTTTAGGAGACATCATCTGCCAGCCAATTCAATATTGTAGCT